GAACGACGACGGCAGCAGCATCGGAAGCAGGAATAGAAAAAGAGACGACCTTGTTCGCGGGCGTGCAGAACCTGGATGAGCCGAGAGGGTTCGATTTTTTTCCTGGTCGGTGCGCCGATAGACCAATGTGATCGATAGCCCCTGAAATTCGTTCTAAAGACTGCGCGAGTCCTGTTGATTGACGCAACGTTCGGATACAGGTGTTGAGATGTTCAACCTGGGAGCGCAACGTCTGCTGACCTGGCCGCCAGTCGGGCAGACGATTGTGCACGCGTGTACTGAGCAGGCTCGCTGGCCGTTTTCAGGAGTTTGCTGTTTGCTTTGTGTTCTGCGTTCGTTTGACCAGTCGAACAGACGGCTTGGTTGGGAAAGCTCCAGTGCTGCCGCTACTCGATCCTCCTCCTTGTTCCTTTTCGATTTCGGGCAAGATCCCTGTCGGCGAACGAGCCGATTGTGAAAGACAGTAAAACTCCCTCGAGGACTTAGCACTCGAATCTGACTCAGCGAATTTCCTCCCTCTTGTCGTCGCTCGCTGCGATGAGCTCTCCGATGGCTCAATTTCCATTGGAATAACATTGCTCCCGCCAAAGTAGACGGCCCGAACGACACTGACGCACTGCAGGCCTATCGTCGCGACGGAGACGAAAACGACCAAGACCCCCACTTTCTAAGTCGAAGAAACGATGCCGGCAATGAACACCATAACAGGGAAATTGTAGTCCCTTTACAGCATTGAAAGACCTATCTCAAAAGTGGATGGCACGGGACTAGGCTAAAGTCTATCTCGGCGGACGGGCGGGCGAACGCACGCACGCTCGCTCGCTTGCTCCCTCGGTGGCTCGCTCCGTAATATATGACGGAGGCATTTTGTCTGCTTGAGTTCTGGGCTGCCACAGGACGACACAAGGAGGAAGAGAGCAGGCTCCTTTCTTACTCATGGACAAAAGCGGCCCTCCTTCATCTTCTTTTCATTCAACGACGAGCTCACAACCTTCAACCACCCGCCGCAACTCCCTGGCTGCTGCTCCAGCTGCAGCAGGGAAATCCTCGAGATAATCTCGTCGCAACTATACGTTCGGCGATTTGATACGTCCGATGCAGCTGTTCGGCATCTTCACTTCTCTCCTACGTATATACGTTATATATATATATATTTTTATTATTATTCAACCCGTCCCCCACGCGAAACGCTGTATTTGGCTGTAAATTTGGCCGTAAATATCTCCCTGGATAAGATCCGGGATTTTCTTTCAACGGGATCTTTGAATATATCTCTGTTCGACGGCTGAGGCGACGCCTCCTGGCTTGTTCCGTGCCGGACTCGATTGGACGGTGCGACGATGTTCAGCGGAGCGAACTTGTTCCCAACACTTCCACTGCTTGTGTCGGCGATGGTGGTTCATCAGAGGAGGAGGACGACGACGACCTCAAACTCCTTTGGACGAAGGGGCAGCTCCCTCTAATCGTCTGCCGACTCAGCCAGCATTTAAAACAAGTTCGTGCTTTAGCGCCATAAGTGATCCACCCATGTATGCGTGGGAAGGTACTCGGCAACCCACTGGCCGGCGGACGGGCGAGCGAGCGAGCGAGTCGGCTCGCCACCGGGTCTTTGACCGCAGAGCCCAGCATCACGAATTATAGAGATGATTCAATTTCTAAGGAATTCTCCGTATCGCTCAAAGCGAGCTTCCCAGCGACCGAAACGGCCTGGACTCCGCGCTCCTTGGTCCTTTGCGGAGGGAATTTTCATGCGGAAGTTCATTTCGTTGCAAGAATTTCCTTAACGCACCACTCGCGCTTTTGGGTGGGCCACTTAGGCGAGAGTTCCGGCAATGAGCGCGTCGATGAAGTTTCCGTGCTGTGGCCTGAACACCTCGAGCGAGAGACCCCACTTCATCCACTCGGTAGAGGTTTTTCACAGGATCTCTTCTGGATCTGATGACTGGGAATCGCCCGAAGGCACCGACCCGAGCACGGGGCGAGCAGTCGCTCAGATACTGGAGTCGTTCCGGCGATAAGTCGACTGACTGCATTGGTCTGACTTGAGTTCCTGCAATTTGTTCCGTTGGCTTGGGAGTGTTCTTCAAAACTTTCTAAAGACCCCAAAAAAGCTTCGAACCGTTGTGAACTCGAGCGGGAGCTGATTCCGTGGTCAGATTCCACTCTACCGGAGCCCGGAGCTTCGGAGCCGTCAAAAATCCACTTTTAGCTCCTCCGACTTGCTCTACTTTTTCAGAGCGCTCCCATGGCAACTGAACTTCTCGGCTGCTCTGATTGGCTAATAAATGGGGGGTTGGTTGGTTGCTTGGTTGTCTGATCGCTCGGTCGGTCGAAACTTTCTTATTATCCTTCACATTGACAGTGCTTGGATGGTTCGCGAGTTCCCCCGTTCGTCTCAGGAAGTCGCTCGTCTGCGAAAGCGGAATAATAGGAGATCGCGGTCTTGATGGAGCGGACAAAGACGGAATATTAGGCGGTATCATCGTGGCCAGGATTTGAGCCTCCCGGAGCCTTTCCTCCGCCAACTCTGATTGTGCGACTTTCGAAACTTCGAAAGAGCTCCACAGCTGGGTATGGTCTCGCCGGCGGTCCCTCGTGGAGTGAATCCTCATGTATCGGTCGTCACCGTGTTGCGACTGGTCGGCGAAAATTCCCCTTCCCGGGAGGGAATGCAAAATCTCCTCAGAACGAGGTTTGAGATGAATAAGTCGTTCGTCGATGCGTTGTAGATTACGGGGGGAGGGGAGTCATCTTGAGCTGCTCCGAGAGTCATCATGGAATCCTATATGACATAACTGAGTCGTGATGATCGCGCGATCTTTTTGGTGGAGTCTCGGAGACCCTGAATCACTCCTGAGTATTTTAAACGATTTGTGAATGATCATCCTCCCTCTTTTCCCATTCGGAGTCCGTCCGAGTGAGGGAGTAATCGAAATTCCGCCGAGCTTAAATCGAAGCCAGATGGATCGCCCGGGTGTTCTACGCCGCGGACAGCGCTGAATCTGCCGCCGCTCGCGTAATCCCATATCATCGGTGAAGTCTCACCTGGGCCTCCCACGATCCAAAGCCGGATCCTCGACGATAGTGTAGTTGCCGAAATATCCCGAGTATCGCGCTGTAAAATCATTAGGATATCGCTCGTTCCCTCGCTTGGCACTACACGGTCTATTGATTACCCAAAGGATTTCCTCCGGAGCGACTCCGCTAGATCCGGAACAGAGAGACTTAGGCTCCTTCCACGCTCAGCTTCGTTTTCGGCGTTGGAGGAACACGGCCCGTGTAAGCGCGTATATGGTTTTCCTCCAAAGCCCTATCTCTCTACCGGAAAGGATTTACTTGAAAGTTCAAGAATCATTCCGGCAGCGTTGTTTGACTGATGAACTAAATGAATCATAACCTTCTGCCCTCCGTCTCGCACGATGGAGCACTGTTTTCCGAGCGCCTCGACTGCGGAACGGGGCCTCATTGTACCGTTCTGAAGTCGGAATAAAAAGAAAAAAAGGTTCCGCAAACAACCTGTCTACCACGTCAGCTTGAGGAACGATGATGGACGTTTCCCTTTTTGTTCCGACTCCGCACTCCCTGTCGGCCGTTTGTGCACTTTGAGCTTTCCATGCGGAAGGTTTTCGGAGGTCGCTCCAGCGAGGATTTATACTTCTCTCGGAATCCTCGCGCTCAACTTCGTCCTCTCGGACCTTCTTCTTCATTTCGCGGTTTCACGTCACGGAGAAGCGCGCGTGTCTTCACTCCGATCTCGAAGTCTTCGTTGCTCCCCATCGACCCACACTCTGAGAGCCGTCTTTTTCAGAACAGACTTTCTCTCGGTCGGTCTTCGTTTTCCGTTCGGCTCTCGATTTTCCTATCCCGCCATTCTACTCGTCGGACACTCTCGCTTCCCGTGCCCGTCTGCCTCATTCGGTTGGGTCTTTTCCGTGTCCCATCTCTTCGACAACTTTCGGAGACGACGGGCGAGAGCGAAGCTGTCAAAGGATTGCCGCCAGACAGTGAGAAAGAGCGAGGGAGGAATAAGGCCGGCAGCGACCCGGGAAACTAACGGTCGAATTAAAGGAGTTCCAAATGAAGCAGCAGAAGGAAAAAGCGTTGGACCCCTTTTGCTGTCTTTCCTCGTTCCCGCCTCCCGATGAGCACTCGTTCGATCGAGTCGGGAACGAGTAGAAAAGCGGGAACGAGCCGACGTGTTCGAGTGTCAAGCGCTTGAGCGTCTCGAGAGAAGTTCTCCTGGAGGTTCTCCTTCGGGAAAAGTGACGCGGAGGACGAAGAAAAAGCGTAAAGGTTTTGTCTTCCGCCCGAGCCGACTTACCTGACCGATAATGATGTATTATATCTCTCTCTCTGAGTTCTTCCCCGCAATTCCGGATTCATGTCATGATTGCTGGTCATTACTCGCGGCGGCGCTGAATCCGTAAAGTCCGGACAAATCAAAGGAAAACTCGACGAACGGTGATTCCCCTCCGTCATGCTCTCCGCAAGGTTCACCTTGCTGCTTGCGACTCACCTCGGCGTTCGATCTATGTACATGTCGTCTCGTATCTATTTTCAGACTTCTTCCCCTGGTTCTTCTCGTTGTATTTCCGCTATTCCTATCTGCGATTCACCCACAGCCTCATTCCAGTGTGTTCCTTTCCCTCCTTCCTCGGCCTCCAAGTGGTATCCGAAGCATGCACCTTCTCCGTTTGCTATCGGCTTACCCGTCAGCAACTGAGATCAGTAATCAAATTGACCAAGAACCTGATTCGATCCCCTTACGTACGCATGAGTATCGCTGGGGATCCTGAACGATCTGGGGCTTCTCATGTCGATACGTCCGCAATCTCAATCTTCGAACGGAGACATCCTTTGGACGCGAACTGACGGCAGATCATACACGACGAGGCTCCCAGAATTCATACCCGTCGATCTTGCCGGGAGACAGAGCGCGCAACCCTTAGGAGTACCATGACGCAACGAGGTTCACCAGTCTCTCTTTTCTGTCATTGCAGGTGTCATGGCGAAACCGACGCTAACGACGACGGCGTCGGGTGCACAGGATGCTTCCCCGCCTGAGGAGCCGATTCTCGGCACACGCAGCAAAGGTCCGCCGCATATCGCATTACCGTGCCGTTTAATGTCATCGAGCGGTTTTCGAGTCAATGCGTCTTCGAGTCAGCTTCAACCGGCCCAGTACGCCCTGAGCAATTCCTCGATCTGGGTCCATCATCCCGTGTCAGGTATGAGAGAATTAGAGAGGAGAAACGAATCTGACGGCGCCGTAATTGGGTTTATTCTAATTCCGACCGCAACGTCCCGACGCAGCGGCAGTGGGAAAAACTCCGCAGAATCCTGACATGCACGTTCCACGTTCAGCTTGGACGAACCCTTGTCGAACAAGCCGAAAGTTCGTTCCGTTTCCTCTGAATATTTCATTCTAGCTTTTTCCCTCATAGAGTGAGCCGCCCGCGTCCGAATCCCCTCGGGAATCAAACGATGCGTGGTGTTCACCTTACTAGTCGAACGTTGGAGTTCCACCATCCGTCACCGAAAACGGCCCCTTGCAGCATTCTTACTGTTGTTCCGTATGGATTCCTCGCGAAGTAGGAGCCCCTTTCGCGAGATCCCGGGTAATGGGGGATATTTCGCCTATATTTCGTATCCTAGCCGAGTCTGAATCTTGCTTGCCACGGAACGAATGCTGCTGTCGGAATCAATCGCCTATCGGGCACTACCTGAGCCCTTGAAGTTCGAGGAAAGGAGCAAGCGGAGAAAAATCGGCCGCAGCCTATCGGACAGACTCCATCTTAACGAGATTTACGCGATCAAAATATTATCGAATCAGCCCGAGTGCCAGAGCTAGCGCGGGCGAGCGCTTGCGGAACTTTTATGTCTGTTATTGAAAGCTGGGCTGACGTAAGCTCCTCCGACGCAGAGTCGTTGATTGTTCGCCAGCGAGCAGTTTCCAAAGGAAATCAATACAAGCCGTTGCTGCTTCCTTATAGGTGACTGGACGGAACTGCGTTCGACGTTAATTCCGGTGTTCGATCCCTCGTGGAGTGTCAAGTGTGTTCTGGACGACGACGAGACCAACGGACGAGAAACCGTCGTTATCGCCAACAGGACGGCGGCCCTCGCATATCATCGGGCTTCTGCCAAGTGAGTTAAGACAAGACGTACAGAAAATTCACGGCTTCAGAGTTATTAGTTTGTGGGCGATCGCCCCGCCTATAGTGAGCGNGCCTTGCTCAACCATCCATTCCATTGAATTATTCATGGATCTCCGGAAAGTTTCACTTGCACTTGTCGAGCGAGCCAGACGAGCCGTGTACGTGCTCCTCTACGGCTCGAACACGGGTCTTATCCTGCCATGACATGAACACACGAAATTCCGCAAATGGATGAGAGCGAACGATCCGTGGTGACGAGAACATTGTTCCAATTGGGGGAATACATCGCCTGGTCCTCTCGTGGGAGAGAGAGCACGGTTACATTCCTGTTCCGCCTACGGATTGCTGACAAATCACTCCCCGTCCATACGATACGAGTCAATGACCAATGGCAGCAGTCCCGATCGATGGCGCCATCTGACATAGAACCTCCCACGGATAGAGGTCGACGCTCGAGGGGAACTCGCGTAAAATCGAGAAACTACGTATGCGGTTTTCATTCCTGAGATTCGAGACAAAAAACTTCCCCCGGAGACGATTGTGGTGCCTCGCTACGCTTCAACGGGATCGTTCAGCGCCGGAGACACGTCAAGCTTCCCTGGAGGAATGTAATTACTCCCTTCGATGGTGACTACGCACGTTCTAAACACGTCGAAAACTCTTGCGGGAACGTTGAGCGCGGGAGGGTTACAGAGTTATTCGTGCGGAACTTTCAAACTCTGGGGTGCTCTATGAGGCGTTCCACGCGTGTGCGAGACTCTTGACTGCGCGAACTGTCGAGTCTGTCATCTGACGTTTTGATGAGCGATGGTTTTTTTTCTGCTCTTCAAAATCTCATCTCACTCGACTAAGCCCCTGGGTAGATCAGGCGTGAACATTCGCGAACGACTCGACCGATGACTACCTAAGACGGAAACCCTCCGACTGAAACACACATGGATATGAATGTAGTCGTGGAAGTCGTAGGTTCGTGTTACGAATCCGGCGGCTTGAATGTTAGTCGGAACGTGGCGCCATTCCTTTCGTCATGTTCACTTACCGCGTTGGGCTCCTGGGTCCCTTGAGAGCCAGGGCACGTCGGCCCTCGATAAATCGCTCCGCTTTCTCTCCGTGGCCTGGAGTAGCAAGCCATCCATCGGAGCCAGCGGCTCGCCGGCAGCAGCAGCAGCATAAGTAGCATAAAAACGAGCTGAGTACGCTGTCGATAATCTGACTCGGGACATGGATTTATTCCTAGACTTACCGATTGCAATTAGCGGTTTTTATGTCGCTCGCTCTCTGAGTCTGAGCGTAGCAAGGAAGATGATCAAACTTGCGTGACACATAAAGCCAATAGAGAACTCTCTTGACTCGAGGACCGCCACAAATTCCCTCCAAGTTTTTCGTTCGCCTTGCAGTGGCCTGTTCAGATAGGCTGTCCGAAGAGCAAGCCCCTCTCGATGGACGTCCTTAGACGTCCGTGATAAGCAGCGACCGAGACGAACTTCGCATTGAATATTTCTTCGGCCTTTATCAAAATCATTCTCTCAGAAAGCTGAAATCTAATTTTCGGTCACTTAACTCCATCCGTGTATATGTTCTACGGGTACGACGACGGCGCAGTTTCCCGCTCTCTCTCCGCAGCCAGCAATCGGCGTCACGCAGAAAGCTCTCCTCGAATCGATGCGCCGGGCTCGGGTGAAGTTGGCGATTCTAGATACTGCGGAACTCAAGTCGTCTCTTATCTCACCAGATGGATTGACCTGAGCACTCCCGAAACGATACGCGACGAAGCGAAAGTGGTTTGGTGTCAACAGGGTGTCATCCACGTATATTCGACGAATAGTGGTCAGTTGCTGACCTCCGACCCTCTCGGCGATCAGGTGAGTTCATTTTCGATGGGGGCGATCATTTTCGAGTTTCGAGGAAACGAGGAAGTTCTTCATTCCGCGTATTTTTATTCACAGATGAACACGTCTCATGTACCCTCGTTGCCGCCAACATTTACCACTGGAGACCACACGAAAATGATCTACTGGTATCTCTCAGCTAGCAAACACATATACGTCATGCTCGAGCGACCCGTAAACGGTACGATTCGTGTTCTACCTCACCCCTCCTCGTGGTTTGCTGTTCCCAAATTACCCCGGAAGATTCCGAATCAGGAATTCGACGTTCCATTGATTGATATTGAAGACTGATTTAGGGCGAGATGATCCTCAAGGAGTTTGACAGAGAGAATTTTGATCAGGTTCGACGACGTGCAATTGCTCAGTGGTCGCGCGTGCCTCGACCTACTCGGAGTTCGGCAGCTGGACACTTTTAGACAAGTGGGAGTATTCAGATATCGAAGGCGGATCCCACCCCAGTCCTCACAGCGGGGAGGTGAGTTTTGAACCGATCGGAATCAGAGCAACATCTTGGACCTTCATCCGATCGGATCCTTCTTATTCCCACCGAACTCGAGCTCTCTCGATTTCTCCGGACTCCAGACTTCCCTCGAGGATGTAGCGCCCGCAATTGTTTCGCATTTATTCAGACATCGGAATCGGAGGCTGCTCGAATACGGAAAGGGACAGCTTCTAGATAATATTTCTCGCCCAGGCACCCGTTACTTGGACCGATGGAAGCAACATGCTGTGGATGTGGAGGCCTCGAACCGCACCGAAAGTCTCTGCCGACGGGCATTTGCTGTGGTCCTATAATATATTGGGGAGAAGCTGGCAGAGACGCAAGGTTCAAAGCTTCGGTGGAGAAGGTTGGTTTCCGATGTGATTGGGCGCATATAAATTTATGTATCATCCACTCACTCAAATACCCCCTTAACGACTCATATCGTTCCCTCAGCAGGAGCCCCGCGATTACCGCTGCTCGGCTGGGCTACATCATCTCAGAGCTGCATAATTTTCGCTCCGGCAACCTGCCGCGAACCCTTCACTTTGACGAAACCTGTGTGCATCGAGGTATGCATGAATTCGAAAGTGGAGCGTGGGTGGCCGTGGGAGTGAGAGGAAGCCTGTCGATAGAGAAGGGTCCTGCGCTCAGCGAGTCCATCGCCATATGCGATTTTTCCAGGGCAGCGAGCACAAACAGAAACATCCCCGTCGCGAACGTTTGATAGCATATCATTCTGAGGATTATATGGAGAAGCAGACACCGCGCAGAGATTTTCGCTCTTGATCCTTCCCCGCCCCCAGGCAGTAGCAAGCGATTTGAAATGTCTTGTTCCTATTCCTCGGCTAACCGAGAGAGGTCTATCGAATGCGCCCGACAGACCGATGGAGCAATTGTACAATCTATCATTAGAGACGAATGAATGAATCGATCGCTGCATCTGATGATTGCTGCCGACCAGCCCCGCTGCACGGAATTCTGATCCGGTAGAATGTCAGAGCTGAGCGGAGGAATTTTAACCGTGGAAATTTCCCTTTGAGGTGTCCCCGGCCACGAATCGATCCGCGTTGAGGAAAAACGCCACTCAGTCGAAGTCGGCTAAAAATTCCTCTAAAAATCGTGTGACCAGGAAACCAGGATCGAAGGTTGTCCTGTTCTCAACTGTGAAGCCTCGCCAATCCTTAGGTTCGTTCCGGAACGTAAAAATGTCGACGAAATCGATTGCTCCAACTGAGCGCGAAAGTGATGATCTCGGAGCTGGCGGATGCCGTTGCATGCGAGCCTTCAACGTTTCTGCTTCGAGGCTTAGGTTCTCAGAAAGATAAAACCAAGTTGTCCCTTTCCAGATGCTGCTCCCACGATCCCAATAACGACCTCAGCGTCGACGTCGACCATTGCGACAGTGAATACGTCGTCGAATCCTTCCGAAGACGTCACCACGCCTATTTCCGTCACGACGGAAGATATCGCCGATGAAGAGATGGACGGCGACGAGCTAGACCTCGAGCTCGGCTCTCCGTGGCACGACTCGGAGTCTGGTGAGCAGAGTGAATGTTGAGAATATATAAACGAAAGTTTCGCCCTGAATCTCGCGATTCGGCATCAGAGCGCAGCCCTCGGCTCATTCGGTTCATTCACAATTCCAGGTATCTTCGATTCTGTGATCTTTTGCGCTACTTCCGCCGTAGCTCTTTGCCTCGTTTCGGCCATTTGGTGCGTTCGGCATTGTGCACCGTTTCCGAAAGAGGCGTTGCTGCCGCTGCGGGATCCACCCTCGGTCCGATACACAGCGATTCCTGATCACACGATCGCCTGATTTTGTTTGGAGGGAGCAGATCCCTGGGACGAAGAGGCTCTTTCGCCGATGGACAGGTGCCATGCGCACTTCAACTTCACAAATGTCCCGCCCGTGCTCCCTCCACAAGACTCAATTCTAGACACGGCTCGTCTCCTCCAGCGAGATGGCGATTAAGCTCCTCGGGGTTGCGAGCTACGCATTGTGTTATATGTCGATTACTACCCTGCATCCTGAGTCGAATGCAGGAAATCAATTGTAAATCTTTATGACCCCATCAGTCAGCTGAGCTCATCAACTGGCAATTGTTTCGTCGCTCATTACGTACAGGTACTGCACTGAGTGAAATTAAATCGAGCTCATTGGGCTTAGGTGTCCCTGCCCGGAGCTCTTAGGATTCCATGGTAGTTGAGCTGTGTACATACATAATAAAATATATGAACGACGGTAGGGACGTTGGGATCATTGTCGACCCGAATTCCACTTCGATCTTCTATTTTGGATTGGAACGGCATTCTTGGTTACCCGAAGACCCAGACTGACAGCTGATACCGATCGTTCCGGAGAGGCGGGTTCCTTGTTGTTTGAAATTGGTAATTGTCGTCTCGTATGAGGATGATGCAAGATACTGTGTTGAGAGATTTCTTGTACATATTCTGAGCGTTTTAAGCAGCAAGATCGCGCGATGTATCGAGGTTTGTTAAGGCCGTTCTGGGGAAACTTCGGAATGGATTATTCATTTTGGCGCACATTCAAATCTCTGCCAGGGAATGAAGAGTTTTCCGTCTTATGTACGCAACCTCTGATAATGCATCGAGGACCCGAAAAAGTTGAAGTGTTGGGAATGTCATCCATGACATCAGTTGAGCGCGCACGAACAGGCGCGACTCGCAGTTTGAACTTTCGACCCACGGCAGTAGGCGGAAGCTGCAGGTTTCAATCGTCCTTGGGCATATTCTAGCGGAAGGGATATCGGAGTGGGACCCGTCGTCTGTATTAAGTATTGATCCCTGGATTTTTTATTTCTATGAGATGTACTGAAGACAATTCCAAAGCGAATGTGTGATTTCATCGCTAAGCTGACATCGGACTCAATCATCAATGGGAGTCGGCTCGCGTCTGTCACAGGAATAACGTGTGACCGGGAGCGGGAGCAGATTTGCGTCATTACCTCGCTGCAAATACTTAGATACTCACATCATTAATTCAAGTGGAATAAATACGATGTCTTTGATCAAATGGCTTCTGACTAGCGTCCGTGTTTTTCGGGAACAGCGGTCAGACGATCGAAATTATTTCATCCTCCCCCCACTATTTCCAGAGCAGCTGATCGATGCATTGGAAGAGAATATAGTTGACGGGAACGATTCTTCACTGCCTGTCTCGCTCTTGAGCTCCGCTCACTACATGGTATCTATTGCCTGACGAAGGTATTCCATTTTCGGCTCCGGACAGGATCAAATCTTCGGGGAAGGGTACACCCACTTGAATCGCACGGCGACTGAGGTCTGGCCAGCGAGGGTGAACCTCGAGGAGGTATTCCACGAGTGAAATCACACCGCCACCCTTCCTCCCGGGGTCATTTTGCCACGCGGCATATCCTGGGAAAATCTCCGCGACTCCAAGCCTCTCTCCGGGGCAACATCCCGACCCAGCCGACGGAATGAATATTCCTTCCATTCGGTATTCTGAGATCTCCTTGCTTGCATCAGACAGTACGCTCGGTTACTGACGATCTCAAGCCTTAACCGAAGTGTTTTCCGAGAATCCGATCGGAATAATCTCTCACCGATTACCGAGATCACTTCGATGGGAGCTCGCATTAGGACTCTTGGACAAACGCTTCCGTCACAATGAGCTCGCAAAGCTCCCGACAGCCATGTTTTCTAGTCCGCAGACGTCATCCGGAAGGGCACGAGTCCGGCCCCCGAATCTAAATCCCATCACCTCTTCCGAAATTGTGCGTGAGTAAGACACACAGAACAGTAAGGGAAGCGCCCTCCTAGCTTTGGCCAGAGCCAACCAGAGCTCACAAGATGTACCCCGGAATCGACAAAACCTGTTCCAGGCGTGGCATCTACGAGGAGACGATGGAACACGTCATCTTCGAATGCAACGACATCTACCACACGGGAGAAGAACTCCCGTGCCGTCTCGGACTCCACGAAGACGCAAACAATGCAACCGAAGGACAAAAAGAATCCTGGAGGACTGGGACAAACAACGATCTGCCGAATTTCGCGCCTGATATGAAGGGCTGATTGACTGTGTATATACAAACAAACGGATATACACCTCAATCTGGATCACAATAAACCATTAAATATTAACTAAGCGCTCGTCAGACTGTGTCTGAGGGATGAGAAGAGAGAGTGATAAAAATCGACGCGTAACCTTTCATAGCTTTTATTACCCCATTGATCGCTCGGAAAACCAACTCGAGTTCATTTGGTCCACAACATGACCATTGGACACACGACCGTGAACTATACAGAGTTACAATCACTGAAATGTATCCGACACCGTATCGCTACCAGATAGAATGTGAGTCCTCACTTCTCATCCAAGGTAGCGCCTGTTGCGCGAACCTGAGTGATAAATGTTAATTCCTTACTTGGAACTTTCTCCCCTGGGACCTCAGATTATGGATTTTCTTCCCTTATGACGCTAAAACCTATTCCATCAGGATTTCGTATAATTACTTTCATTCGATCGAAGCACGACACCTCATCATGGATCCCTAACTACGATGCATACGAATATAAGTAGTATGAATGTTTCGCTCAAATGTCGAACTGCACGATCGGAACTAGCAAATCGGTCGACGCGGGCAGCGTACTAATTGGACACGGAGTTTTACGGTGGCATCCGTCGAATCTGGTGAAAACGACAAGAACTGGTTCTTACATATCGAGCTTGTTCCGATTAGGAAAAAGAACACTCCGACGCTCGCGGAGATCTCATCGATTGTCGAGAGCAGTAGAGCGGCTCGGAAAAAGGTCTCACCATCCGAACCCCAGCGAAAGCTCCCAATATGCAGCTGTTTCCTCGAACTAAATAATTTCCATCGCGCTTCTGCGGGTCACGTCCGGGACCGGGACTAATCGAAAATCCGCTGCCGAAGACCTCGTGAACTCGGGTACGGATAATCATCATATTCCCGGGTTCATTCACAGTATGAACTCCATGCGATGAATGGGCTCGTCGAAATTGCCGTACTCCGCAGAAGTCGAACGCACTTAGAGGTCCGGCGGACCAAGCCGAATCGAACTCCTCCGTCATTATCAGCCGGAGAAGTGAGTTCCGTGCTGAAAATTCGCCTAAAAGTGCGAGGCCGAATCGCGACGTTCAAGTCAGCGTTCATTTCGCGAATTCACTCCATCTAATTATCCATCATCTCAGAGAATGCGATCGACGGGAGCAAGCGGACTTCGCGAGCTCCTTGTGCTTCACGTATCACCTCAAGAAAGCGAGCGTCCTTTTCACATGTCACCAGCTAGAGAGATATTTATTCACAAAAATAAAGTTACCCTTTTTGTCTTTTTTCCTCGTTTCTGTTGTAAACCCCTATGAGCTACATAATTATTTCGTTTATAATCTGATTCATTCTCTGTTGCAGCGACCACTGTTTCTGCTGATTCCATTCTGGATCCGTTTTTTATCTTCAGCTGTTTACAGGATTCCTTCGGCGGACAACAAGACGGAGAGCACCGCTTCGATGAAACCCCTGTTGCGCCAGAACCGCTCGCTCGACTTATGATGATATACTATCGTCCTCTACAGTATGTTATGTTGTGATTCGGATAGTGGATAGTTTTTCTCAACGCTGTTTGTTGTTACCGGGTAGGAGACCCGTGGGCGTTATCGAGATCCCTGCTCTGCTCAACTGGGCGGCGGCCATGGGGTTATTGGCGAACGCTTGGGCCAACTGCAATGCCGCCGCCTGTTGCTGCAGAGTTACTGCACTCAACGCTTGCTGGGCCTGAGCCGCCTGCTGCTGGGCGACCGCTTGCGGAGTCGGCGTTGGAACCGGCGGCGCGGGAGGAGGCGCAGCCACTGGTGTGCTCGTCACAGATGGGGGCACGTTGCCACCGGCCAGACGTGAGAGAATCCCCATCTCGTTCATCTGCAGCCTCTGAGCAACAGGCGGAATACGTGCCAGAGTGTTCGGCAGACGGCTCACGTCGCTCTTCATGTCGCTCAACAGTTCCTCGAGCTGGTTGAGCACCTTGTGAAGAACCGCGTTGGCCGGCTTGTTGCCGGCAACCGATTCTTTCGAGAGGTGTTGATGCGACTCAGCGAGGCATTCGAGCTCGGCGAACCTCGCGTTCAGAGCCATGACCGGATGAGCGGGATCCTGAGTCAGGTTGAGATAGGCGGCCCGTCGGAGTTGTTCCTCAATGACGAGAGCCTGTTCAAGGAGTTTGAATCGACGGGCGAGGAACTTGTTTTTGTAGTCGAGGAAATTCCCTTTTCCCTGTTCACTCTTGAACGGTTCGTTGATGATGGCGAACGCGAGATCGTTCTGGATGTCCTGCCAGCGTCCGTAACCGTGCTTGACGATTCCGGCCAGTAGCCAGTAATCGTGACGACGGTGCCAGATCTCGAACTCTTTGCCGGGCACGGCAGCTTTCTCCTCGTTCTGCCACAGCGTATGCAGCTCGGTGAATCCTCCGTCCGCGACGTTGAACATGAATTTCCGCTTTGAGATCGATTCCGACGGCAGGCCGAGTTTGACGATCTTCTCCTCTATTTCCTGATTCTCCTGGATATTGTTTTGAGGTTCGTTCTCTTTCTTGTCGGATTTGTCTACTTTGCCGTTGTCGGTAGGTTCGACCTTTGGTTTGACGTCGTCCCCGTCTTCGGATTTCTTCTCATCGGAATCCTTTCGGTCCTCGCCATTCGCGTCGCTGGCTTCCTTATCACTAGCTTCCTTTTCACCGTCCTCCTTCATTTCCTCGTCTTCTTTCTTTAGGTCACCATCTGTGTCACGGGACAAAGAGGTACAATTTAGTTCAAAAGACTCAATGGACCGATGTAGACACCGGATATCTTCTGATCACTCGGTCACGTTTGCATTCACAGTTGGCAGTCGCCTCGGGAAGGGAAGAAATAAGACTCACTTGATTCGCTCCGGTTCTCCCCTTCAGCTTCGAATTCTGCCTTCTTATCCGTCAGCTCTCTTGCCCTAGACTCGGAGTCGGCTCCTTCACCTTCTTTCCGTTTAGGTTTGTTGAGGCCCAATTCTTCCGAAGTCATGCTTGCCACTCCATTGATGTGCTCAAACTCTTGCACCTGCGCGTTTAGAGATCGCGTTATTCAAAGGTCTCGACCGAACGTAAGCATCGATTACTGGCTCTTCGAATATATCCCCGAGACCAACCTTCTTGCGGATGAGCGACATGACGCCGATCCTGGTGAGCACATGTTGGCGGCTGAGACCTTCTCGAGGGACTCCATCGGCAAATGTTTCTGAGTTGTCTGCCCCCGGTTCACAAAGGTGTCGCATAAACAGAGACACGTAAGCCTTGAAGTTCTTCTCGGATTTACCCCGAAGATCTCGAACAAGCCACTGAGAGTTGAATGCGTCCTGAGGCGGCATCCCGTAACGCATGATAGCGTTCAGGAAGGCACGACGTTGGCGGGCGTTGAAACCCAGAACCTGAAACGACGAATTTCCGTTAGCGCCGATTCACGATAGAGGAACCCATCCATCTCGGAAAATCAGAAACTTCCCGAAGTGTAACATTCCGCCTTTAGGTGATTTCTCATGCCTCGAAGGAATCACCCCATTATGAAATGCATTGTTTTCCGTGTGCTTTCGTTCCTCGGAACGAACAGAGCGGGTCTTCTGCCTCTGGTCGTGCGGAGAAGCACACTCCTCCGTCGTTTCCCGAACTGAATCTCCCAATTAACGAATCACCGCCATATCTCAGGACGTTGACACATTCTCGTGTCGACATCCATCGATCAATCAATCAATCAATCGGCGTCCATCGAATACCAGCGAATAAAATGATCGAACACGACGTACCTCGATATTTCCGTTGACCTTGGCAAGCAGCGGAGGAAGCGGTCGATCCTTCTCGCTCTTGCGATTTCTGCGAATTTTGTCCATGTTGCCACCGTCTTTATCGTCGAAATCGTCATCATCGCCGTCAGACGGCATGCTGTAGTCCGAGTTGTAGTCAGATAAGTTATCGTTCCAGTTATCGTCGAGTTGACGACCTCTGGATGAACCTCCCTGTTCGGTGTCGTTATAGTTGACCTGGCGTCGGACACGCTTGCCCTTGCCGAGCTGTCGGGAAAGATCTTCCTGTTGTTGTTCGTAGTGGTGCCTCAACAATTTCTCCCAGTAGGCGGGATCGGCACTTTCGATTTCCTCCTTGATAATCTCAGTCTCGGGCTCTTCTTCGGCGGCGTCCTTCTTCACGTAGGCGGCCACCTTGAACGAGTCGAGGTATTCGTTGGCGGCCATCTCCTTCTCTTCGATGCCTTCCTTGGTTCGATCCAGGAGCGCACCGATGGCCCGGTCGTCGTAGTGGATGGCGTTGTCGTCGCCCTCTTCGTCCTTGAAGAGTTCCTCTGTTCCGAAACGGAGGATGTCGTCGAGTTCCTGTTTCGACATGGCCGCGTTTCCCTGACGACCCATACCGGGCCGTACTACAAGATGCGTGAGCATCATTTTTTTCTTTGCGACCTGCGTGACCCGTTCCTCGACCGACGCTCTCGTTACAAATCTATAGATCATGACCTTGTTTGTCTGACCTAGACGATGGGCTCGTGAGAACGCCTGGATGTCGTTGTGAGGATTCCAGTCCGAGTCGTAAATGATGACGGTGTCGGCCGTGGCCAAGTTGATTCCTAGACCTCCCGCACGAGTCGACAGCAGGAAGCAGAACTGTTCGGCGTCGGGCTTATTGAAGCGATCGATGGCTTCCTGACGCATTGTTCCCGTGATTCCTCCGTCGATACGTTCATATTTGTATCCTTCGCCCTCGAGGAAGTCCTCGAGCAAGTCGAGCATTTTCGTCATCTGCGAGAATATCAACACTCGATGACCTTGCTCTTTGAGGAGTCGCATCATTTTCTGCATGACGATCATTTTCCCGCAGGACTTCACGAGGCTGTTCACCGTGAAGGCGCCGTTAGCCAGACGTTCGGCTTCGGCTTGCGCCGCAGGGAACAGGAACGGGTGGTTGCAGCACTTTTTCAAGTCCATCATGATGTTGAGCAGCGACACCGATTGGCCGCCGCCCTTTATCGACAGGGCGTCGTAGTTGCGGGTGAGGATCCATTTGTAGTATTTCTTCTGAATGGGACTGAGCTCCACGCGGACGATGAATTCGCTCTTGGAGGGCATACCCGTTAGGACGTCAGCTTTTAAACGTCTCAGTAGATGGCATCCTAACAGGTCATGAAGTTTCTTCACCTGCTCCTCTTTAGCAATGTCCGCGAACTCGTTCAGAAAACCTTGCAGGTCGTTGAAATTCGCCGGCGAGAGGAAGTTCATCAGATGGAACAGCTCCTCGAGATTGTTCTGCAGCGGCGTTCCGGTGAGGAGGAGCTTGTAGCGGATGGGGTACTGGCTGAGAACTTTGAAGAACTTCGATTGGTTCGACTTGAGTCTGTGAGCTTCGTCGACGACCAGGACGTGCCAGTCGATGCTGCCCAGCAGCGCCTGGTCCATGGAGATGAGTTCGTAGGATGTCAGTAGACAGTGGAATTTGATCGGAGCGTCCTTCTTCATTTTGAACACCTTGTTTGAGCTCCGGACGGCTTTGTCTTCGAACGAGAACTCGTTCTCGCGGATCACCGCACGCGAATCTTTGTCGCCGACGTACGTGACCACGTACATTTCAGGGGCCCATAGCTCGAACTCTCGCTCCCAGTTGATTAGGGTCGAGAGCGGCACGGCGACGAGGAAAGGACCTCGCGAGAGTCCTTCTTTGTACAGTGAGTAGAGGAACGTGATGGTTTGGATCGTTTTTCCCAAACCCATTTCGTCGGCGAGGATTGTGTCTGTGCGTTGGCTCCACGAGAATCGCAACCAGTTGATACCTTCCAACTGGTACGGATGGAGTTGGTTCCCGTTCTCCACGACGTAGGGTGGCTGTCCATCGTATTTTTTCTTGGGATCGACGGACGGTTTCTCGAATGGCGGCACCGAGAAGCGTCCGAACACTTCGACTTTCTTCTTGCTCTTGCTCGGCTTGCTCCCCGGCTTCTTGTTGCACACGTTTTCGGTGTGCTCCATCAACGAGCGGAAATCCCAGTATTCCTTGACGTATTTATCCATGTCGGTGATCTCGAACTCACCACCGTTGTCTTCGACTTCCCAAGTGCACGCAGAATAGTCGAGTTCTCGCCACTTCACCAGATAGACGTTCTGACCGGCGCGGTACGTACGGTGGTTGATGATACGGGTGATCTCTAGCCATTCGGGCTTGATTCCGTACTTGTAGTATTTCTCCTCCAGTTCTGCGTAGTGTTTGTCTCGTTTGGCGAGGCTGGACTTGTGGTTGGGCAGATCTTCGGCTGGCGGGGGTTCGTCCATGTCGTTCTTGCGGAAATAGTTCCTCATCAACGACGGGTGGAAAACTTCGAGCTGCAGCTCGCTCACCCACGAGCAATGCCAATAGGACATGTCATGCCATTTGATGAAGAAGATGCGGTACTTCACGGGCTCGCGTTTACTAGTCTCGGCATCTTTCTTCGTTTCGGCTTCGGATTTGTCCTCGCCGTCTCCGCCGGCTTCGGCGGCGGCGGCGGGCTTCTCTTCGTCGTCTTCGTCCTCGTCTTCAGCCTCGTCTTCGTGTTTCCATTCGGTCCATTTCCATGCGAGTATCCGCTGAACGCGGCCCTTCAGCTGCTCGCAAGCGCATCGGGGGCAGGTCCATTTGCCGCTGGGCGGGCGGTTCAGCGGCGGGAATACGCACTCGAAGTGATAGGAACCGGGACACTGATCACAATGGAGGAGATCACCACCTTCTTTACAGGTGCGACAGTATTCCATGTGCTCATCGCCATCCTTGGTCTTGCTGCCGCCTTTCGAACGGGGTCCGGCTGCCTCCTGAGAGTCGTGAGCTGCGCCTTCGGCCGAGATCCCTTCGCCTTCGCAATGGGGACAGCTCCAACGACCCTCTGGAGGCTCCTCGAGCTCCGGTTCTAGGCACACGAGATGGTAGGCGCGCACACAGGTATCACAAAGAATTACTTCGCCTCCCTGTTGGCAAACTTCGCAGTAGTCCTGATGGTCGGTATCGTAGCCGTCCTCGTTGTCGGACGATGCTTTCTTACCGCCGGACTTCTTGGGTTTCGTCGGCGGGGGCGCCGGCTTGCCCTTCGGTGGGGCGCTGCTCTTGCGCGACGCCCGCTTGGGAGCGGCGGCGGCCGCTTCCTCGAGAGCTGCTTCGAAATTGGCATCGCTGTCGTCGTCCTCAGGAGCATCGACCTCCTCGTCGGAGGACTGATTCTTTCGACGGCCCGACACCCGTTTGCCACCGATTTTGATCTTAAGCGACGGGACCTTTTCCTTCTTCGAACTGCCGGATCCGTTTCCACCGCTCTTCGAGGAATTAGCGACATTGCTGCTGCTCGCGTGGCCGCTTGCGCTGCTGCGACCTCGCTTCGTAGGTTCGTCTTTGTGCTGCTTGTCGTCTTTGTGCTGATCCTGTTCCAGCAGCTCGGGGTTCGGATGATTCTTGGCGAAGTCCGCCCATTTGGCAGTCATCAGGGCGATGATCTTGGCCATGGCCGCTTTCGGGTTGGCTTTCTGGATCATGGGACGAATCTTCATGGAGTAGACCTGGAGAGAGATTCAGACACGTTCAGAAAGGAGATCGGAGAATTTCGCTTCCGGCTCGGCACCGGATCGTGATCCGGGATCGGACAATCGTCACAGGATGGGTATATGACATCGAAATTATATGTACGACGATCCTCGATCACTGCAGTCGCAGCCGCGCGAACCTTGTACGAGGTCAGCTCCTGGAAGTCTTCGTCGGTGTATTCCGTGAGGACATCGGTCATTTGATACTCCTCTAGAATTTCGGCAACAGTCTTGACGTTTTGAGCCTCGCTGTCATCGGCTGCCGCCGAAGCTGCTGCCGCGGCTGATTCCCCTCGACGTTTGCTGAAAAATCGGAAGCTCCGGCTTATGATCGAGCAGAAGACTGAGAAATAGCTCGGATCGTCTCTTGTAGCCAGTCACAGGTGGATTCCCAGAACATTTTCTCATCCCCGTCGTTCGGGTTTCCGCAGAATGAGTGTCGTGAAATGATCGGAAGACTCCCTATGCATTGGAACTCACCTAGGTTTAGCTGTGTACTCCTCTTCGCTTTGCTGGGCATCGCTGTCAGGATTATTTTCTTCGTCCTCACTGTTGGTAGTCGCTCGACTTTTGCGCTTTTTCTTCTTCGATTTTTTGTCCTTGGTGGCGGCCTTCCGTTTCTTAGCCTTGCGCGTCCCGCGTTTGACGCTGGATTCATCTTCCTCCTGATTTTCATCATAATCTACATCCTGTCCGGCTTCCTCGGCTGCCTGTTCCTCGTCGGAGCCTGAGAGAAAAGAAGAAAAATTCAACTCTCATTATCCGTTCGACTTGAATATCCAGCATCGATGAATTAGAGACCGCAGATGCGGCTGAGCAGCAGCGTAGCTCATTCTCTTGCTAGGGAATGTTCAGATAACAGAAACGAAATACATTCGTTTCATCCAAATGACCTCGGACAACTCGTGACGTCAAGCGGTCACAGAGGTGGACAACCAGGCCGCATAGCACGACCAGAGTTTTTCCTCCGAGACAAGACTGTCAGACGATACGGATCAGATGGGATACTCTAAATGACCGATCCCAGATCCGGTCCCAAACCCACTTTTCGGCTCTTCGTGTCCCAACTCATGGACTTTCTCGCGCAACGCTGCATTGACCGAATGCCTTGCTGCGAGAAAGTTCTCTCATCAGCTATGTTTCGGCGAATTCATTGTAATGAACGATCTCGAGGCGTTTCGTCTGTTTTCCGTGCCGTCAGCGCTCATATCGAACAGAGTCCCGAGACGCGGAATCGTTAACCGGCGTTTTCCATTGGTTGAGATAGAAAGAGGTTCCTACAGACTGGAACCCCCTCAGGACGCCTGCTCATTGAACACCGAGCCATGTCAGCTCCCGAGTTCCGTCGCCGTAATAGCTCCCTCACACAGCAGAGAGCAGGATATTTCTCCCGCTTGAAACTTCGGACTACCGTCCGAAGACTATCCTTTCAGATGGCGAAAGTCGAACTAAGATTCATGTTGCTTGACCGGCTTGGTTCCAATCTTGCCAAACTCACTCACACACAAAGCACTCACAACAGTCTAGCAACTGCCTGAATACCTGGTCGTTCACCTCGTGGCGGCCACACGGTAGCGTCCCGTGAAGTGTTCGACGCGGGACGAACTTCACCCACTCTGCGCAAATCGATTCGACAACAAGAAGATACCGGCGTCCGCCAATGGATTCCGAGGAATTAGATTGACGCCGCTCAATCTTCAAACATCTGCATAATAACATTCTACAATGTCCCGCTGCAGGAAGTCTTCCCGAGTCGGAATCCGAGAGCATATCGCCTAATCGCCCCTGACACCGCATCCATTTACCGGACATCTCTGACTGACTGAGTGAAAGTATCCCACTCGAACACCGAACGGCACGTCATACGACTGAAAATTTACCATAATTCTGCGTCCGTCTCCGGCTGCCGTCCATCTTCCCGAGACACCAGTATTGCCGAGGATTCGCTGATGATGGGACGACGATTTTGGGAATGAATGTCGGATCGGAAAAAAACAACTGTCGGCGACCTGTTCCCGATAGTGGTCCCGACGGCGGCACTCGGAACAAGCCGCTGGGCTTTTAGAACTGCTCGAACGAAGCAAAGTCGGACGATGCAGTTGTCAAGTGATAAATGTCAAACGAAGCTCTAGCCGACAACCGCAGCATTAAGAGCAGTACAACAAGCCGCACACAACGCCGAAGAGAAGCCATGTTGGAAACTGCTGCTGTCTGCACTGGAGGAGCGCCAGCCAGAGCCAACCCTTAAAATTCAGCGACACACACGGACACACACCACACACACACACCATACGCACACACACACACAACTGAATATGAGCTGCGGAACAACAGACGATTTCTACAGTCTTCGTGGATGATGATGGAACCTCCCCCCCAGACCGATATCATCGGTTTTGCCCGATTCGGCAACTCCGACGACCGGCGAGAGCCCTGGAAAAGCTCTCGAGCGTCCGGAACAGCGGGTTCTGGCTCAACCTATCGATACCATGGCGAATCTCAAGCGAATTGACAGCGAACCGGTCGGAAAGATTTCCGGAGACCGCGATCGCGGCCGCATCCGAGAACCAAACAACGAACCTTATCACGGATCTCGGAAGCATGAAATCTTCAGCTATATCGGGAACATACTTCCCTGAGTACCCCTCACCCCCTCCCCACTCTAGAGGCACGCGCTAGGCCTAACGGAGTCAACCGGCGAACGGATACCGCCACATGAGTTCTTTTCGCACTGTCGGTGAGACAGGCCAATTGGATCAGAGTCGGGGAACGCCATCGACGAAGCGGCTCCGCTGGTTGAAATTCCTCGCAGGGAATCCGGAGAAGCTTCGGTAGAGACGAGTTCCGTGAGCGGCACAGTGTACCCCCTCTATCAATGCTCTGCATGATCGGACTCGCTCCGGAATCGCTAACTATGTATCCGGGTTATGGAAGGCTTCGGCACGCAGGGGCTCTCCGACTCAGAGAGCCCGACATCCATTGACATAACTAAAGCGACTCGCCGGAGGCCGAAGCGGACCGCCGGCCGGCGAGCTTTCTGAAGAGCCAAGCCACCGACACCGGACGGACGCAGAAAAAAAACGAAGACAAGTCACATCACTCTGGAGCACTTCCGTTCGGACACTTCGGTTTTCCCCCATCCAGTACACTCGAAGGCTACTTACCGGTGAAGTTCTCCTCATCGACATCACCCATGGTGTCAAATGTCGAACGTAATGTTTTCAGCAGCGAAAACACACAGTACGAAGCCGGAGCCAGCCAGCAGACCGACCGACAGCAGCGAACGAACTTGCTGCTGCTACTACCGCCGCCGCCGCTGATGCAGACACTCCTCACTCACGCTCTCTGTGTTGTGGGTTCTTTAGCTTCTTGTAGGCTGCCTTGCTCGCTCGCTCGCTCGCCTTGGCTAGCTCGAGAGTGATTCGTTCAGGACGAGCTCTCGACTGACTGAGCGCTCACCGGCTATCCTCTCGTCGTTCAGCTCCCGTGAGAAGAAGCCGCCGTCACCGCCGCTGGTCCTACTCTCTCTCTACCTCTCCCGTTCGATCACCCTCCTCGGACGCACCGCCGCCGCCGCTGCGACTTGCATGCCGCTCAGCCGCGGGGAGACACGGGAGTCTGAACCGATACGCAAGCTCGGTGAACTTTTGAACGCCTAGAGCTCGGGACGACGAACGATTTCGGGTAGAATCCCACATACAGGAATTTCGTTAGGGGATAGCGCGGGTTGATATTCAACAGGATTAGAGTCTGTCGCCGAGAGAGTGTGAAGACCATGATATCGATGATCTTTGCCGAAATCCCATTCGGACTTGGGCGGTCTCCTTCATCTTTCCAGTGTCTCCACCGGAACTTATCTTTGCCAGAGCCGGGGCTCCGACTCCCGAGATTCCCCTAGAACTGCCTGATCTGATGCTCACAACTCATTTGGAGCTGCCATCTAATTTTCCATCGTGAACCGCGGATCAGCCTCCAAAAAGAGCCTGAGGTTGGCTGCTCAGTCAGATCAGAACGTTCGTGGAAGTTCTCTAAGAAAACCGAGTAATGGTAAAGCGCAGCGGCGAGCTCCCTCCGAGGACTCGAGGCACGACTTGAGACTCTCAGGAAGACGGTCTGCATACCCTTGAGGAGGATTTCCGGGGAATCGGTTTGCGGGAACCGTCGACTCACAGAGAGATGCGGAAAACGGCACAATGGAGCGCCCAACATGATGGAATTTTCCGAAGCGTCCTCTTGCCAGGAGGCCGCAGAGGCACTTAGGACGAAATCTCATCGTGGCAAACCCCCCCGAAGGCGAGCGTGATCTCGGCTGCTCGACGGATTGATTGTAATCAAGATCGCTGTCTCACAGAAATCTTGCGCATCCGCCTGAATATCGACTTCCGAAGTGCCGCATGGAGCAGAGTGGCAACATCTTCGGATATTACACTCCACATCTGCGTATCTCGCAGTTCGGGCTGGGAAGAGTTTTTACTCGGAAATTCTGCCAAAATCTTCGCCTCGGAGATTCCATCCTCCAGGAGCTCGTTGCGATCCTGATCGCTGAACACGCGAGTAGTGTATTTCAATGAGGGATTATATTTTTCTCTCAGCAAATCGGCTTCGCGTTACGACTACCGTTGGGTCCCGCATGACAAATGGCTGACATATCAGAGGTTTTCACTTCTCACGGGCGACGGAAAATCAGAACCATTGTCCACCACAGGGAGACGAGGATGCGCTCGACAAATAGTTAGGGAGGAAATAATTTCATGAAAACCGCTTTTTCCGACGAGCAAGAACCAGAGCGTGCTCAGAAAATGAGGTAGGTATACTCAATTATCTATGGTTCTCCAGGAATAAGTCACCCGAAATGTCATGTTCCGCTCGGAGAACGATCCGCGTTACAAACCATTTCGCTGTATCGTGTACGTCATCAGGGAATTGACTGTAATCACGGCTGTGTTCCAATGATGCTCCGAATTGAATTCCAGCCCCCTCATCATGCCCGGATCTCAGCTGAGAATCAGGCTCGGAGAGATATACCCAATTCGCGGAAAGAACGAAGCACTCAATGAGAAACTCATTCATGAAGAGAGGGGGATTCATTTTGGGGCGACTAGCACCAATAGTTGTGCCTCGTGAGATTAGCGGTCTTGGATCCGAATTCCGATGGGTTCTTGGCGCTAATGCTTGCTTATGCGAGACCCGCGCCGAGTTACTACACACCATCATTCACTCGTACTCTCCGATCGCGGACCATCGAGACAGGGCGTTCTGGGGCGCTAAATTCCGGCGTTCATCCGCCATCGATTCGGCACCCACAAACTTGAAATTGTTTAGAATTTTCTCTCAGCGCCCATAAGCAGAATGACCGATTGAGTGCCCTTCGTGATCCTGTCAGTGTCGCAGGAGAGCGATACCCAGACGCGCGGGATGATTTCCCGTGACACTTCAAATCGAACAATTCAGACATTACGCCTTACTCTTGTTGTCATGAACCTATAGGGCGACGTCGGAGTCTCAACCCGGGAGTGAAGATCCACCGAGTCGAACTCAATAAAACTCATGAACTCCCGCTAACTGTCGATCTCAGACCTCCTGCTATGATTCGGCAGCTCGCGGCTCATGATCCACTTGAAATCCCCGGCACAACCTTTCCAATATTTCTCTCATCCGGGAGGGCTAGCTATCCGCGATCATCCCTGATCTCCTGCCTCTGACCATGTTCGAAAGGGGACGAGCTCTCTAGGGACCATAAGTCTCCCGTAAAATCTCCTTGAAGGTGACATTCATCGACGGCCCCGGCTTTGGATTCAGATGGCCTCCGATTATTACTTTGCGAATTCCCTATGGGAAGGTCGGATGGAGCTGCTCCGGTATGTTGGAAATATCTCAGGCTGCACCGACATCGTAGGCCTCCATACAGGGGCGACTCCCGTGAGCGTCCCTGTTCTACACATTCGATCTCTCTCCGACGAGAAAATATCTCCGATAGATATCGAATCTCGGGACTCATTTCTCAATCGTCTCGAACATCTCGTAAAAGTAATTCTAGTCACTCAAAGGAGATGATCAACGGTCCTGAGAGAGAACAGCTCGACTCATCGTTCGAGTGCCAAGTCTACAGGGAAGAACCCTCCGAAAGAATGTCCGGTGCAGACAGAATAATCGAACTGCTGGTCTCGATTGACGCGCTCTTCGATGGAGTGGGCTGGCGTCCGAGACGAGGCGCGAGAATCCCTTGGAAGGTTTCCATCTTCGGATTCGAGGCGGATTTCCGAGAGTTCATCGATTGGAGGAGAGGGAGCGTGTGGGAATCAGAGGAAGTCGGCCTCCGGCACGTACCTTCCGTGAAGCATCTCCCATCAATGGAGCATCTTCTCTACGTTGGACTCTTGCTCCACGTCGCGACCGACGAGAGTCGCGCTAGGTTCTCGCAAAGATCGAGAAGTTGACAACACAAAGCTTCCGGGACTCACAACGTGAGTTCGGCTCGCAGCTGCACCGATCGAGTGACGAGCTGCCTGTGTTCCCATTCGAAGGTGTACAGGTCAAATGCGATGCTCCCCATTCATGGATAAATGACTTTTCGCTCGTCGTCTCAATAATCGCGAAGTCTCGTGGAGCTTCACGCCGCTGTCCAATCATATGCCGTCCGCCGTTGGGGGGCGAGCATTGTGGCCTTACAGATAAACACGCATTGGCACCGCGAAGGTGACTGCCGGCTATTGGCCGGCTAGGACAGTTGACGACCTCAAATGAATAATCGGAATCATTTGTGTCCCGAAGCCGCCATGAATACTCGAAGAATCATCCTCAACTCATCTGCCTTACTCGCGCGACTGGCCCTTACGTGGATACCGATCGAAAGCGATGACGTGTGCTAGTACTTACCCATTTGCAGCTTAATGCGCTTGCTTGGTCTGCCCATTTTCCGCTAGATTCTTCCGGTAGCATAGGAACAAACTTCTCAGAGATCACAGTGAAATGGCTCGGAGCTATCAGCTGTTATTTGCGGCAATGTTTCGCCTCCACTTTCACATGGAAGTGTGTTGATGACACGTGCCCCTCCCTCGGAATGCATGTATGATGTCATCATAGGTACAAAGATATGTGATCATTCGATCATTAATCCCGCACAAGGCCATCTCTTAAGCAAAAACTGTGTGTGCTCATCGCACACATTGGCCACCTCTTTCGCATCCGATTATGGACGCTACTCTAGTCGATTTTCGAAAAGAAGGCAAGTCCGACCGTGCTCTTATTCTTCGTCGGCATTGGCATCAGAAGGACTCCCTGGACCTCAAAGAAGACCGGGAAGAGGATTCGAACTTGATCGAGCTCCCTGATTACATCAGCAAAATCTATTCTCGGGAACCCTGGCGTCAGCCAGCCTCGCCTCTCGGATTTCTCGCCGACCAACATTCGCGGAGATCGAACTCGGAAGCTGTTCCGTTTGTTTCTAACCTCGGTTGGGAGAGGTAACTCCCACGCAAGAGGCATTGTACGTCAAAATGTAACCCCAGATCGTGTGATATCCCCGCCCACTTCCCCTCGATAATTCCACCCCGGCTCCTCGCTAACGCCGGTATGGGGGAAAACCTCTAAAATGGAAATTCGTCGGCGGGATCGCGCCAACTTTCCATTCTGGATCCATTTCGATCGATTGAATCAACGGGAGAGCACTATGCTACGGAGAATGCTCCCCCGGTCGTTGACCCATCCCGGGGAGACGCTTGAATGCGATTTCGAGATATTGTCCATCGCGACCGAGTCGCAGATCACGAGTAGCCCTCCTTCCGGGGGCGATGACTTCGTAGGTCCAGGTTGTACCGCCTCATCGAGTGAACGTTCCAGGCAGTCGGTCACACCATGGAGAAGGGCACCCTCTTCATTCGTGTATTTTTTAGAAGAAGAACTTCCAGGGAATTTCTATCGAGCTTCTGATCATCAGATGGGCCGATGATCGGCCGTCAACGTCGATCGAGTCTCCCGGTAAGCCTGGCGGTGACTCTGATGACGGAAATCGCCACGGGAACTCCGATTCTAAGGACCCAGCTCCCTGGTGCCCGGGATCTCGAGGCGGGGGTCTGGATAAGCTTAGCCACGGCCGAACGCCGAGGGGTCCTTCTCGAGAGGGATATCAGATTCTGCATGGAATTCTGTTAAAAGCGGTGATCGTCGCCAAGTCGTATGGAAGATGATTATTCGCGGCGCGACGATTCACGACCCAGGTCTCGCATGAACACACTCGGATGGTTTATTGACCCTCCCTGGCTATTTCTAAATCTCAGTATAAATCAGATGACCCCGATGCAGGGGCGGTGTCTCTAGCAGGTCGATCCATGTGATATTCTTCTTCGATCCCTCTTCCGTTCCTTGTCCCCTAGTAGCACTTTAGTCCTTGAGATCACCCTCGGTGTCTTCGCAGGATGACTTCGGCCTCTGGCGGGCTGTCACATTCCAATATCCCACGTATTCCAAAGTTTCCTAAGCGTTGCCCTACACTGACCGGAAGTCCCCCGACCCAGTGGAAGGCGGTTCCATGCAATACTCTCCGTCGGCGGAATTAACCAATCGCCGAGATGATTCTGGCGGTGAATCTGTAAGCGGAACCAAGTGAGCCGGGGGTGCGGTCCGAGGAGTTGGACTCCACGAGAAACCTCCCACAATTTGAATTCCGGCGCCTTCGAAGACTGTTATTGTTTGACCGGGAGAGCAGAAGGAAACGCGGAGCTTCCCCACCATCGGTAAGAGAAACTGCCGCCGCCGACGACGGAGCAGTACTGGAGGTCGGCTCGAGTTCTCCGAGTTCGGCACCGCATTGCTCTCTTCGCTCACAGCCCGCTACGGCCCAGAACGTGAGAAAAATCGATTCGGCTTGACAGGAAAGTGGGTTTCGCTCGCGGACGAAGTGTCACTAAACGTACCGATCGACCGAGATAACTTTTTTGAGCCTGGAATCCGAAGTCACTACAGGTACGCTCGATGTCAATCTGCTGACAGCTCTGCGCGAAACCGCGGAGAAGTGAGGCACCCGGACCCTCACTCTACATTGTTCGTCTCTATCGAGATCGCTAACGGCTACCGTGGGAAGCTTGATTCGCTGGGAAGCACTCATTGTACGCGCCATAATTCGCTCTCGTACCTGTCATCGTCGGAAGTTGTCTTCCCGATAGGTAGAACATCTGACCTCACAGAGGCTTTCATCCCCGTAGGACTCGAGCCTCCTCCTTATATCGCCGGCTCAATAGTTCGAGGACGCAGGGAATCGACATCAGAATGAAATCCGGCGACGAAGCCGCTATCACCGCACCGCACACAAGACCTATTGTCATCCGCAGGAGCGGTGAAGTCGATGACGAAGTGGAATGCTCCAAGTGCCACATGTATTTCGGCCTCCGGGTGACGATAGAAGCCCATGAGAAACGACATGCGAACCACTCCGATGATCAGCTCTATAGATTCCAGCATCCCAAGGACTATACAGTCGACAGGAAAATTATTGAGACGAAGGTCGATGGATTCAGAAAGCAGAAAGGTCTCGAACTGGCGCTCAAAGAAGAGAAAGTCGATTCGGCTCTTCCTTCGAGCATTGCCTGCGAGGATGCGGTGGGATTAGGCCAACAAACAGATCCTGTTGTTGCGGATCAGGAACCGCTCACAAGAACGACGATCGAAGGAACGAGTACAAGCCTCTAGCGTCTTTATTTCCAAGCTCTGGGAATATAATGCGAGGGTTTTGATGAATCACTGCGTTTGTTCTCGGAATCGCAAAGTCTCGGTAATCTCTACAACACCGCTCAGTCATATTTTGTGTCAGAACATTCACAGATGTGTACGTCGGGTCGCACATATAAAATCAAATGTGAAACTTGTACACACCTACCTATTGGTTTGTTGGGACAGTTCACGACCTCGATTCGTGAATCAGCATCTGTTATCCTTCGATCTCGCTGTCTATTTTCGTAATAAATATCTACAAAAGCATTCGGAAATCTGGGATAGTTCTTTCTTCATGAGAGCAAGTCACGCGCATGGATACCGATCGGAGGGTCCGAATCGAAGCACTCACCTCCTCAAGTCCTGCTCGATGCATCAGACCGTTCCCTGTCAGATCCCGCCCAAGACGTCAGAACGAACTCCTCGCGAATCTCAGTCAGCGGAATCACATGAAGCGACCAGCCGTTGCCTCCCGCGCGATATCGTCCTCAAGATATGAGATTCTCGAGAGAGCTGAAACATGAGTCTCGAATTTGAGCTGGGGCTTGAGCCGCTCCCGGAAAAATAGGATGATCTTAATCATGCTCGTACTTGCCGGCGGGGTCCGCCTGAGAAAGCGGAGGTAGACCTCCCCTGAACGGACTGTGTCTTCTTCAATAACGCCTCTTCTTGATGACGACCCGATACTCTCTCCGAATCTTTTCCGGCACTCACCGAGTCGAAATTTCCGAAATCAGAGCTCATCGATCGGCTCCATCATCTCCACCGCTAGAGTTCAATTTCGCGTTCTCGGCTCCCTCGCCGGACCTACATATAACGCTTGCCGGTCCCGGCGCACGCAGCAGTCGACGTAAATAATTTTTTTCGCTTCATCTATCCATACCGACGCCAAACAGCTGTCAGGTGTTCCCCAACACGTTCGACGTCCCCCTGCATTCGATGTCAATAGAGCTACTCTTCGTGCAATGGAGCCTGCCGGGTCGAGCAGAGTCAGCGATGCTATGGAAGCGGTATGCGAAACGAGGAGCGTCGCTCTGAAGGAATATCTCCTCGAACAGGGTACGCGTTTTCCCTCCGCGAGATCTCGAGGCGGTCGAAAGAACATTCTGAAGAAACGATATCGACCAAAGAGTCACGATTATCGGTTCCATGGTTGACATTACAGCGCGATTGGCAGCGCGGAAGCATCCGGTGCTGGAACCGCAAATGTCATGGTATGTGCGGAGACAGCACCTCAGGTCGAAAATAACGGCTCTGATAGAATCTGTTGTCGAGTCCGTCAGCATTGGCCGTTTACCGTCGCTGGAGATAACTTTCGACTCTTGGGATTCGGTGAACGTCGAAGTAAGGCTCGTACAGCTCGCAAGGAATCCCTCCCTTCAATCCTCGATGGAAGCGATCGACCTCCGGGAAATCGCCCCCCATTCGAATACGCGGTCGTGACATCCATCGTTCTTTCCAGACTGGAGTCCTCCGATCGAAAGACAGCTTTTCGAGATGCAGTGACCTAGGGACCGTGAATAAAGTGGAGCGTTTCGCCCGTTTGATGGTAGTGCTAAAGATCGTTTACAGCTTACTCACACGCAACGAAATATCCACGGTAAATTCACGACTCTTCATGGCTTCTCTACAGCGGAGGGACTTTTGGAGTTATTCGTCAGAGTTCCCTCGCAACCGATATCGTCCGTAGGTGCGACAGATTTTTTACGATAACGTGAAGCTCTTCGAGAATCAAATGAACGTCAGCCTGGTCCTCCACGACATCGCGAAGCTCCTCGATTGCTCCCGCAGGGATTTGAACGTCGTATCAACCGCCAAGGTGGATATCTCTCGATTCCGATGCCATTGCATTAGCTAGGATTCTTTCTTCGAGCCGAACTACCCCCAGGGACTCGTGTGCGGGAATCTGCGCTGGAAACTCGAGGATTGCAAAGAATGGATTGATTGCCGCTCGGTTCCAGTTCTGATACCAAACGACTTCAGAGCAGTTGAACAGGTCGCGTGAAACCCATTACTGAACGAATGATCAACGAGAAGATCTTCGCTCTGAGATAAGATATGGTGGAATTGCAGGTGGAGACGAGCGCGAATGTGGTTCTGATAGTGGAGAAAGATGCCATTTTTCAGAAACTCCTCGATCAAGACGCTTTGACGTTCTTCCGCAACCTAAATATCGATCTTCTCCTGGTCACGGGCAAGGGTAAGTGCTCCGAAAGGACTTCTGAATCTCAAACTCTCGAAGACCTCATATTTTCCATCCTGCTCTTTTCCGCGAAACGTCCCTCGGAGATCCTGAGACGGAATTCTATCGAAGGTGTCCCCGATCTGAATACCCGGCAACTGATCCACATACTTGCCCATCTCGCCATTCCGCTTGCGAAGTGAGTCAGCTCACGGGCAGCCTCTGTTTGGAGGTACCAGGAGTTCCCAATTGCTGCGCAATCGCCGTTCCGATCGAAAATTCGCTTCCCTGTCCTTTCAGATTCTTTGTTTTGACCGATGCGGATGCTTACGGAATAGAAATCGCAGGCATATACAGCTTCGGTAGTCTCGTGCAAGCTTATGCGGAGAACTATGGTGTCCCCCAAATCAGGTGGATCGGACTCCTGCCGTCCGAAATCGAATCGTACGAATTCTGATAATTATTGACTTGGCTCGAGCTGATATGTCATGCCGAGAGTCATCCTCTTCGATTTTCAGTTTCAACATGCGCCCGGAGTCGCGAATCGTTTCCTCGACGATGCATCAAAAGCGTTTGCAAAACTTATTGGTGCGACCATGGATGAAGCTCCGCCGACAGTGGTATCAAGAGGTTTGTTGCTGATCGAGGCCTCCTTCAAGTCTCCTCCCGATATTTCGAGAAACCGTGCTGAAGAGTAACACTCGGATCTTCTCGCATTCAGGTACTGAAACTATTATCTCTACGATGTAAGGCAGAGATCCAAGCATTGGATCAATTCGGTCACTCATTCCTACTGAGAACCTACCTAAGTGATAAACTCCGAGGGAAGGAGGGAGCCGAACTTTGATTCGGGTTGTTCGCTCCATCATCTCCAAGGACAGCACCTACAGCTATCTGAACCATAAGTGCACGAATGTCTTGTTTTAACGCGGATCCCATGGGCTTTTCATCTTTTTCGACTTTTGCGGCTGAGACCGGGCCGACGTCGCTGCGTTCATAACCAAAGAATATTGTTGATTGTGGGTGACGGGTAAGCCAGCGATGGTGAGGGTTGCCCGGAGTGATAGCCCCGAATAGGCGGACTCTTATATCAATGAATTTAAAACCGTAGCAATATGGTTGGGAAAATATAAATTATTCGGTTCTTTTGTCGAACGAATACCTGCCGCGATCCATACGTAAACTCACACTACATGGTATGTCTTATGCAGTCGTACTCAAGGTGATTTCCAACGAAGCCCAGAGTCCCATCGACGATCCTACGGGGCTCCATACTCAGATTTCTGTGGGCCTCGGAGGTTCCAGAACTCGATCGAGGTTTCCATAGTTCTTGCTCCAGATGTTCCTATTGTTGTTCCACCGGAAGGAAAATGCAGGAATTCAGAAGGAAGTTTGGTCTTTTTTTCCTGCTGGTCCGAATAAGTCTCGTTCACTACAAAGGAACCATGATACGCATCTCGAAAACCACGACGGAACCTCTCTCGAAAAGAGCAGCTCAGGACGCGTGGTCGTTTCGGAAGTCCTTAATTTATTGTCATCGATTGCATTTTCCTATCAATGCGGAGGAGCTCCTCATTTCCATAAGGGCTCGAGATCTCCGCTATGAGGTTCTGGATCTCCAAGATTCCACAGAACCTGACAGCCTCAGACATTCTCCAGGCACTCAGAGCACATCGAAAGCTTTCTCGTGAAGCATAATCGTCTATCCACGAGTCTCTCACAACATTCCACATCCTGATCGGAGACAGCATACCAGCGTACAGTCTGAGAGCTTTCGCGCATTTGAGTGATGAGACGACCACGACATGTCAGAACTCTGACTCGTTGGCGACTGCGACATCACTGAAGCTCGGCGGATTTCTGAAGTGTCTGAGTGAACCGCGTGGCGATTGCTACAGAAGTATCCAGGAATCGCTCGACGCAATTCGTGAGACATGTCTCCGTTCGGTCGTCGAGTCTGGTCGACGGCTTATCCATGCATTTGTCCCAACACATGTCAGTTAGCGAATGGATCTGAAATTTCAATATTGGCAATTCAGTCGGACCCTGATCAAATCTCAGTGCGAGGGAGCTTATATAGAAATCGAACCGGACAATCTCCTGAGAGCGCACGTGTTGAAACCGCGCGGCTCACCGGTCATGGTGGGGCTGACTGAGCCCAGAACTCTCCACGCGACTCACCCTCGCTTGCAATTGTGCTTTCTGTTGCTCGACGCGCAATCTCTCCTCGAGTTCTCTGTCACCACCCTCCTGAAGATCACCGACGGGCATTTCGGGAAAATCAGAAACTCGAATGTGTAGCAAATCTGAAGCTGAATTTTTCTAAGGGAGGTCGTCGTCGGCTCTCCGGGTCTGATGATAACAGCGGTCACCGTGTTTACGACAAGAGGAAAAAGTACCACACAAGTGAGGAATTCCCGAGAAGAGTACCACGCGGCGCGCCGCTTCAGGGGATCTGCCTGCTGCCTCCTCCAAAAGTGGGAAAAAATGTTCTTCCTAGTCGTAAATCTTCAAGATCGAGCGGAATCGTGAGTTCCAGTTCTTCGCGGACCCGAAAGAGATACGTGAGAGCATCGAAAGCGAGCGGCACTCGTGGCGCCCCTGCCGCCATGTTGTTTTCGATTATAACGAAATTGGTGGCCGCTGAGGAGCTTGTTGTTTGTCTGCTGCTGCTAACCACCGACATAACCGACGGGTAGCGTTTTGATTGCGCCCTTAGACTCGCTGGCTAGCGAAGTGAGATTCACCGGGATAAGAACCTCCTGTCAGGATTTCGGATCCCGACGACTCTCGGTATGGCCGTATCGGTCAGCGGTCCCGCTGTCGAGGGCGTTCAAGCCCCAGTGAAGAAGCAGCGAATCCGCCAGATCGTTCTCAACCTGGAAAACTGCATCCTCACAGAAGACAAGCTCAATAATACACCTTCGATGCAGGATGGCCTCGATCGGGAGGTCGAGACCGACTTGCGTTTTATCGGCTGCGAATTCATCCAAACTGCTGGTATTTTATTGAAGCTACCCCAAGTTGCGATGGCTACGGGACAGGTTCTGTACCAGCGATTCTACTACAGCAAGAGCTTTGTTGGGCACAATTTCGAGGTGAGTAAGCTGATTCCTCTTCACGTGCTTGACGTTTCGAGCTGTGTGTGACTTGATCGTTTTCGATACGTTCGGCTGCCTTCGCCCGAATTCAGGCAGTGCGGCAACCTTCCTCCCGTTTATTGCGGGATGTCCCCGAAACAGGAAGCCGTTTCCGAATCGAGCTGTCGATTTAGAGATTTTCGGGTAATCGAGCCTTGCTCCCGGCTCTTATCGAACCGTTTCACGCCGCTCTCCGATTTCGTTTCTGGGGTGTCCTCGACAAAAACAGACGTCGATCACTCCGTGTGAATTTAGTCATCGTGATTCACCAGCCAATTGAGGAACGACAGCGGGTGGGGAAACAGCTGGATAAATTCCTTGAGCGATGGCATTGAGACGGGAAAAGACACCCGCCCTCACACTACTGGGGACTACGCTGTATCTTGACCTCATATTACGTTACAGATCGTGGCGATGGCCTGCGTGGTCTTGGCTTCGAAAATAGAAGAAGCTCCAAGACGTGTACGTGACGTGCTCAACGTGTTTCATCACATGGAGCAACTGAGACGGAAGAAAACTCCTGAACCTCTTATACTGGACCAGCATTACATGACATTGAAGAATCAGGTCATTAAAGCAGAGAGACGAGTACTCAAAGAGCTCGGATTCTGCGTTCATGTGAAACACCCGCACAAAGTGAGTTCTCCGAGGACGCCGTGTATGAGGTTCATAAGATACTGCTCATCATCATAATCGGAAGCGATTCCGAGCTCCGGATGAACTGTATTTCATGGCAGACGTAACATTATTCCACAGATGATCGTTACCTTACTCCAAACAATTCTCCTGTCGGAGAACAATGACCGTCTTGTACAAATAGCTTGGTAAGTATCCCGATTCTACTCGAATTATGAGCTGGTTTTGCCCCGGGTGTGCAGACGACGACGTCGCCTATCTCTCTGATCGGAAATGTTCCGAGCTTTGAGTCGAGGATTTCTCTGAGGTCGAAGAGCGAAAAACTCGCATGATAGAGCGACCATGTGGAACCAGATTCTCCTTGGACGTTCAGAGAATGACCTTTAATCTCTTCCCAGCAAAGGATTGCGCGGAGATTCGGCCGCTCCATAGTCTGCTGGAAACTAATCATCTGAGGTCCGTCTTAGTGGTGGTGCCTTCGGAATGGAGCTGGTTTGGACGTCGAGGTTGGGCTCGTGGGCAGTTGGTGAATGGCCTTCGACGCAGGCGATATCAGCCAGCTGCCACAGCCCTTCAGAGTCCTTTGAAACCGCCGAGGAGAACGAGCTGTGGCTCGAAGACTCGCCACGCCAATCGGTTCGAGTAAGTTGATAACCGGATCTGCACTAGGTCTCTCGCCAGCCACCAACGAAGTCCCCCGTCGACCCATCCATCGACTATCACTCCCATCAACGCAACGTCGTCGGAGCAACAGCCACAGAACATTCCCGAACCGCGGACAGCTCACTCACGCAACAACCGCGACCAAAGTCGTGGGATTACCATACGAGATCTCGACGACTCGAATCGTGTGATTCGCAGCTTATCTGTCGATGCTAGGCAATGAGCTCTATGTGACCAGTAAGCTCGCCCGGCTCATCCATAGCGAAATGACAAAGTAGAGTTCCTTCATCTGAATCGTCGCCATTGTCTGAGATAGGATGTCGCGCGACCGGATTCTCCTTCATCGAAGTTTGTCTCTTTCTAGCTCCAAAACCTCTGCCCCGAAATATTTTAGTGGTACTCCGCCGATACAATCGTTCGGAAGCACGGCGAGTGATTGTACGAACAGTCACTTTCAATGCCTTCCGGCTCATTCGTTGCGACCACCGCGGGATCAGATGATTCTTCATTCTTCGATACAGTACGATTCTTGAACCATTGTCCAGGGGTTTCCCCGCGGAATCAAGTGCCGTTCGTCTAGCCCGCGGAAATATTTGAGGCAAACATTCACCGAATGGCGCCATTTTCATCCATGGAGGTGGAAGTAAAGTGTCGTCCGAAAACATCCCCCTAGGAATTAGGTGCCTCGACAGAGATGACCGCTCCTCGAATATCCCCGAAGTCTGTCTTCATGAGTTCCAATCGAATTGAATTTGCACCAAATTCGACTTCGTAGTTTAGTTTCAGAAAAATTACGAAAGTTCTCATTGATTGATAGACTGCTCGATGGATGATGTACTGAAGACTTTAACGCTGTGTCAACGTCCCCCCTTGCTGGTTCGTGTGCCAGGTCATTCTATGCCATTTGATATGCGGGAGGGCTGGTGCGTGGAATGACTCCTAGATATCTAGTCTCCACATGGCATGCCTCAGATCCGTAATGATTAGGATCGCTCGGGGAAATTTCTGATAGGAAGAGATGAGGATCGATTGGGAAGGAGTACTTCGTTGGTGGTAGGCGGAAGCTCGGAGGCAGGATTCACTGTAAGTTGGCGTGGCGGTAAGTTCTTCGGACCGCGCATTCGCTCCCTCGAAACAGAGTGATGCACAGGCCATTTTTTCGAGCCATTGAATATTCTATGATGTAATATGCTTAGTATAATATACTAATTATACTGAGTGTATTATTGAAGCTAGGCCAGATAGACGATTTTTCTCGATGCAGCGATCAAAGCGAGAGAGAGGCCGTCGTCGTCGAATCGGCTCTGAGCGAAGACGAGCAACTGTCATCGGCAGAAGAAACGTAAGGCAAACCAAATTTTTCTTCTTCCCATTGCAGGAACTACATGAACGATAGTCTGCGATCTGATGTCTTCGTTCGGCACCCTCCGGAAACGATAGCATGCGCGTGCATTTCTCTCGCAGCGAGGATGCTGCAGATACCGCTGCCTACGAATCCGAATTGGTATGAAGTCTTCCGGATCAGCGAAGGCGAGATCGAAGACGTGGCCTTCCGGATATTCTCCCTCTACGCGAGACCAGAGGTGAGCACAGTTTTTAGGACGAAGTTTTTCGCTTCTCCCGAGATTCGTCGCATGGGGCAGGGGTTCGGGCGTCTATTGATGGCTCGCGAGTACGAAACATCCATTTGCAGGTCGACGTGGACCGTGTTGACAAAATCGTCAAGGACCTACGCGCAAAACAGCAAGAGGAAAAGAGAGTGAGTACCGGGTGGTGTCTCGGGTACGGGGAATCCCCATGAGTTAGCGCATAATGAGGAGGTGCCGACGCTCTTAAGCTCATTTCGCCTCGATTCATTTCAGCTGAAGGCTCTCGGGACGCTCGCGAAGACCGTGACCATCGCCGACGAGAAGGTCGCCGAAACCACGGTCGTCCCGTTGAACAAGATTCTCGATTCGAACACGACAGCTCTTTACGGACCGGTCAAGAAAGTCTCAGGAGTGGAAACCAAGGGGGAGAGGGACCGCTACAAAGATGAGGATCGACACCGAGATAAGGACCGATCTAGAGACCGAACGGGAGAGAAATCGAGAGAAAGGGAGAAATCCAGGGACCAGGGACGGGACAGATCGAGAGAGAGAGCCCGAGAAAGATCCCAAGACAGATCCAAAGACTACCGACGACGTAGCTCGAGTAGCGAAGACCGATCGTCCCGCAAGAAACGCAAGAGGAGATCTCGAGACCGATCCAGAAGCGTGAGTTTGGACCGCCGACGCAAACACCGTCACCGCAGATCGCGTAGCCGCCCCCGAAACACTTCCCGCGTTTATTGATAACGAATTTGTTGACTGCCCTGACGAATAAATGTACATACAAAGGAAGCGATGAAGCGCATGAGAGAATAAAATATGTAAGTAATGAGTAACGGCGTAAGAATCAAATTCCTACCAACGGCTCAAGCGAGGAGGAGGGGGGGGGGAAGTGAGGAATTGAAGATGCCAAGAGTTCGGGTGGAAAATTCACGTTCTTCTCTTTGAATCTCAAGAGGTTGGGGTCGAGCGGCGCCGCGGAACCGAGTGCTGGTTAGTGTCAGAACAGGAGCTGAGGCGGAGAATTATGCTGCGCCACATGTCATGGCCGCCTGCCGCTTCGGCGCCGTCAGCCGTGCGGCGGAATCGGCCAGAATCCGGTGCCACCGAGGACGCGAAAAATAATTTATTCTCGTCGACTCGCCCCCTCTCTATGGTGGGGTCGCACAACTTTCTCTTTGAGATATATATTTCCATCAACTGATATGCTATGACTATCGGGCGATCTTCCAGTGTCCGCAGACTTCAGGATGGGGTAAGAGACACAAGTCGTGCCAGACTGAGGTCTCGGCACACATCTTTCGGGTATTTTTCCGCTTTGTTCATGACGTCTTTCCGTGCGCCGAGTTTCAGCAGCAGCTCAACCATCGGACGGTGCCCCTGCGGAAAGAAGACTCCGGGTAGCTGCAGTGCATTTCACGAATTTACTACTTTTTTCCATCGATCAAAGGCAGAACAACGTTCAGGCCGTTCGGGGAATTCCTTTCCCAGGCCCCAGCCTAAGACTGGCCAGGAATAAAGCCCTATCGAATATCAGGATTCGTTTGGGGCGGACACATATCGATTTGCACCTCACCTCTTCGCATGCGAGATGCAAAGCTGAGTCGCCTTCCTTGTCCCTCGAGTGTATGTTGCAACGAGCGGTCGTGGCGAGATATTCCACGATTTTCATATTTCCTGCGAACGCTCCGATTTTTAGAGGAATCCATGATTAAGATTCGGGCGACTCGTGGAAGAAAATCTGAGATGGATTCGAAGTGCAGACTGCTCACCTTTAGTGATCGCGCGGCTTAGAGGCGTTGCGCCGAAGTTGTCTGCTACATTCACGTCCGCTCCGTTTTCATAAAGTTTCTTGACAATATCCAAGTGATTCTTGCTTGAAGCGTAATGTATGGGAGCTTGTCCGGTGGAATTCTTATGATTCAGATTGGCTCCTAGGGATTTAATGCATGAAAATGAATCATTGTGGTAAAGCCTCAAAGCCTGCGCTTCATCCCCGAATATCCATCCTCAGGCGTGCGAACCTTTAGCAATCAGAAAATGGACAGCTTCTTCAAGACCGACTGAGCAAGCGATCATCAAGGGAGTCCAGCCGTCTCGATCTGGGTCGTCCAGAGAGCTCCCTGGGAGAGAAAGCCATTTTTGAACCATCCGGAGCTGAATGCGAATTCTTTTGGGGGTCATCGATGAGTAGATCAAGCTCATATATCGTACCATGTTCGACGAGAATATTGAAAATTTCGAGTCGTTTCCCTGATACGGCCCAATGTATCGCTGTGCGACCGACGAGATCCTTATCGTGGACAGCGTTCCGATCTTCCTGGAGGCGGCGCATGACTTCGCCCCGGTTTCCCTGTGAACGGAGGAACATATACCGATTACGACAGTCAAGTACCAGCTTTGAGAAGCTAAATCCGTCAAGGGGAGACAGGCAGCCGTTCATCCGGCAAACTCCTGTGAAGTTAGGAGTGGGATATCTCTCCGAAGAGGCAACACCGAGTGACACTTCACAACAGCTGCGGCTCCTGGCTGAGGGAGAAGCAGGCTCCCCGGGAGACGAGGGCTCACGATCAGAAGAATATGTACTTCGATATCCATGATCGCTGGGAAATGGGAGATCTCATGCTGAAAGTGAAGTTTCACTCACCTCCCACGCCTTCCTACAAAACTCGTTCTCGCTCATGATTCACCGTGTCCTCGCCCTGGTTCGTGAATTTTCCCTCGAGGTCAAAATCGAACTGTTCGAGCGACACTGAATCTGGACTGTCTCACATGCGGAGCGATCAGATTCTGAAAATCACCGGCGGGCTTGTCATCTTACAGAAAGTCCGCGAGGAGAAGCTTCGCTTCCGTCATAGAACCTTTAGGCTCATCGAGATCTATTGACCAAGAGTTCACGGAAGTTCATTCATCGATACTTCGCTACGCTACGGCTCTTGATCGTCACAGTTGGTCGTGACAGTTGATAGAAGCATCACCATTCGATTTCCCATTCGTTGGTGATAGATTCGTAATCATGCAGAAATGCAGACTTCCCGCCCTCGTCTCGACCCACTGGATATCGAAGTCCAGGAGTCTGACGGCGCATGGGCTGCGGGCCGTATATGCGGCTGCAAACTTTCCTATCTGCGGAAGGAGGGGATCTCCGTGCCGATAAACAATCGATTGGATAAGACACTTTCACATCGCTTTCATAGTTCAGAATAGTCGCCGGCGGACGTGCATTTGCCGATCCGCGCTGCGCGGAAGTGCACCACTGAACGCAAGCAGAAAGAAGCCGCATTCTTGAACGCTGGAATTGTCTACCCCAGAAGAGTCTACTCTCAATGGGAATAGCTTCACTGAAAGCTTCCGTCTCTAGAAATAGCTGATCCCCGCGATACCCCCTTATGGCGAGCTGATAGAGCGCGCGTCGAACACGTACCGGAGCCCAGGGTAGAACCGCTTTTCCAAGATAGATCTCGAGCTCAGCTTACGGATCTCTTTCTGCTCGGCAGGTCCCTTGGTCCGAATAGACGCCGCGCCGGCCGCCAATCGCGATCCCTGCGGCGGCTATATGACGGACTCCGCCCTCTCGGAGCTTGAAGAGATTCGGTATCGCTCCCTCCGTTTGTAACGAGACTCATAAGCTCGGTCCGGGTTATGTGGCAGCCCAGGTGTTCACTCCAAAATCCCCGGGGAGATTCCCGCTTACAAGACTTTTTTTTACTAACAGATTTCTGTGCCTAACTCGGCTCATGAGGTTCCAAGTTCGAGGTTCAGGAGGGGTACAACAATTCTCTTCCATGGCCAAGTCGAGCGATCCGGGTGAAAATATCAAAATTCATACTCCTAAGAACGCCTTCTCCCCCACTGCTCCAAAAAATGAAGAATTTCAGAATCTTGATACTCGAGTTCCCAATCAGTTAGCGTCTTGGGTCTACCTAGAAGTTCGTCCTCCCTCCATGGGAGGACGAACTTCCCAGAACTCAAACTTATTTGATTCCCTCTTGGTTTGATCCGGGAGCTCCGGCAGACTCCGTGGAACTTCTCTTGGAATCGCGAAGTCCAGAATTGCCCCCTTGATTCGCCCATGCAGTGCTTGCCAAGCCAGGCCCGTAAACGTCTGCGAACCTTGAAGTCCGACCGAGGATTTGAGCTGAACTTCGATCGATGGCTTCCGGGAATAGCCGCGCTTCCGTGCGAGAATATCGTCATCGCCTCCAAGACAACTCCGGAAAGAGTATCTCTAAAAAATGAGATCTTCTACACGGATACCGAATCCATGTCTTTCACGACCCATAACTTGTAGGTTGTAGATGTCCTTTTGAACATGGAGTGCCACCGATCAGAAAAGGATATCGCGACAGCCAATAGGTCAGCGCAATCACTGCCGTTCGTTTCCGGATTAGTCGAACATATGTGGTCGGAATCTCCCCGCAATATGCTCGAGTATCCGGCATGATCAGAATGGCCTCAGGAAACAAGCTGGGATCTAGCCGTGGTGACATCTTCACAAGCCTGATCAAGGGGATTCATATCCGAGGCGAGTTGACATGCCCATTCAGGTTTCCCGACCCATGCTCGTGAACCCTGACATGGATAACCTGGTCTCGGCTGCTGTCCGGAAATCGAGCCCCCGCATCGATAAGGACCATGTGCAATACCAGCACCACAGGATATCCGCGGAAGGCGGAGAAGGCGCTCCCGTATACCAGAAGGATGCGGCTTGAGCCGCGCGAGTCGCGGGAACGAAGTAGCGGGAGTAGAGCCGAGCGGAGAGGCTTCACGATCGTCTGCTCCGTAGGTAAACATCGGTAGAGAAGTTCGGGATTTCAAGTAGTGGAACGAGCGCTTGCTCAGATCGACAGAATGTTTAATTTAAAGCAAGCAGGAAGGTAATCCGGCGCAGAGGACCCGAAGCGGCGACGGCCGACCGAGTGCTACCACGGTGAGTTTTGTCGGACAGTGCTGTCGCGCGCTTACTGGATGGTGGTCAGAGCGATCAGGTGCTCCGGGAGCTCCGAAAACCTGAACACCGACGGCGGCAACGTTCCCTCCTGTCGACGAAAGGGATTGTGGGTACTTGGTTTGCGTCGATCCTCGCGCGAAATTCCTAATCGCGCCCCCAGAGTTCGTTGAGATGAAGATCGAATCCGAAGTCCGAAGTGAATTCAGTCTCTCCCAGGAGTGCTCCCGAAGATGGAAGCGCAGGCATGGTTTCTTATTTTCTGGAAGCGCGCCAACAGACGCCCCCTTAGCTGAGATCCGGCTGCAAGAACCGCTATATAATTTCGAGAGGACACACCGCTATCTTGAACACTGGCGAAATCTAGAATACCGATACTTTCAGACAGATCATCGAATTCTATTGAACTTTGGGCTGTAATTTCCGCGATCTCTGAATAACTCCCACGTTCATATGGAGCGGTATTCCCGGGCCAATTCTTTCGCGTGCTGTTTGTGACGAATCATGACTTGGTTCACCGGGATGTCGGATTTTAGGGAGAGAGTCTCCGGCTCGAGATCGAGAGTACACCTTGCCTATCGAGCTTTTGAATAAATGGATCGAAACTTGACAGCAGCGAAATTCTGAATTCGATCTCTCGGAGTTAGCCACTCTCAGCTAGCCGTCGGAGCGCACCATGAACAGATCCTGACCCGTAGACACGTTTCGATGCACACAGACGTTGAACGCTTGTTGTTGTGTTGGACGCTTGTGAACCTGCTCCGTGTAATCATTTGCATTCGAGCGCAAACACTGATGGATTTCAATTGCTCCAGTAGCTGAATAATGGACTCGTGAGCACTTCAAAAACGGGAAATTTACATTCATGCTGACCAGAACGCTCCGGAACAGAACGCTGGCACGCGAACTAAATGGAGAGCGCCGACCGTCATGCCGTCGATTTCGAGCTTTTTCGCTGTCACAAGGGTTTATCTCGCTCCCTATCCTTTTCTCAGGTCGTCCGGCCATGGCTGCTGAGGAGAACTTACTCATGCTATCTAGAAAGGTTTGTTCTGAATCGACTATTGCAGAATGAATCATTATCAGCCACGCGCGGCTTCAGCAATATCTGTGATCGCGAGTCATATTAAGAATGTATTGATGAACGCGAGTTCCTCTGATTTAGGTGATGCCGAGACGCAGCAGTACCTACAAAATGGTTCTCTTCGCCCTTTTCTTCTCGATGCTATTAGCGACTTTGATCTTCAGTCGTTTCCTACAAAGATCCCAAAGTGAGTTTCGATTCGACTTTTTTTTATCCGAGATAACGGATACTTCGGTTTAAGCCCGCTCTGATGATGATCAAGAGTCTGGAACTGCTCAGCGTGGATATGCTGATTGCTGATCTGCACGTGGCGACAATTTTCTCATCATTCGATTCCCTAAGTAGACGGACCGTCTCGGCCTTCGAAACCGTTAGTGATATCTTACCGGATCGACACACCAGCATGCAAGATTCCAGAATTCTCACCCTTCGACTTCAGCGTTGTCAACTTATACGAGAGGTCAGTTCTTCATTCTTCGATGTGAATCCAACAGAATCTCCGCCGATGTCTTTTCGGCAGCGGATCGAAAAATCGTTCGCCTTCCCACGAACAGTCGTTTGAATTTTCTGCTAATTTCAGGCAGGAAGAGCCATCTTGCGCCGAAGCTCCTTCTTTTCTCAAATGGACATCGTATAACATTCTGAATATAGACGAGAAAATCGTGTCCCGCCATTACGCAGGAATCGACCCTTCTGTGATCAAATGTTTTTTCCGGGAAATTTACCGCGATGAGACCTCGGAGCAGCCTGACAAAAAAGTGAGCTCCTGGGAGGGATTCTCACCCCTGCCCCCATAAATAGAGACCGATATCGAGCTGAATGGTTCCCTCCTCTCAGGTGTTTTTCAGACCACGGCAAGAACTCGTCTTAGGGGAAGAGATTACCTCGGAATTTATACTCGTGGATTGTCTCTACAAATCCTGGACCGTCCTGGAGCAGTACATGCTTGGTGAGTTCTGAAGGTCCACGAACAAGTTGAACTGATCACGTGAACTCCAAAGAGAGTTCATCTCGGGCTCCGAGTGCCTTCAATGTTCAGCTGAAGCTACTCGATTTCACGATCGAATGCGGCTCCAGGCTGTAATGCGTCTTGGGTCCGTAGACGGCACTATCCGAACCCCTGGGTTGATGGAACTCTCGCTTACAGTTCCAGTGATGAAGGAAAATGTCGAACGCAGAGCTCAAACAATTCTCGACAAGACCGCGGCAGTCGACCGGACCAATGTGCTGGTCCTCGGCGTCGATTCGGTTTCCTACCTCAACGCTTACCGACATCTTCGCAACAGTTTGGCATACGTTCGGACCGAACTGCAAGCGGTCGAGCTTCGAGGTTACGTCAAAGTCGGGGACAATTCTTTCCCGAATCAGAATCCGCTCATCGATGGAATGAACGAGACCGAGGCTATGGGATATAGCGACAGAGGGTAAGTTCTGCGTGCCGGCCCATGGTCCAGCAACGACTTCACAGCTTCCAGAGGATTTCCATCTCTAAGGAGGATCCGTTGCAGCTTTTTCGACCGGATCGTCGATCGGATGATCTGGAGCGAATTCATGGACGTTGGGTATCGTTCGCTGTTCCTCGAGGAGAGTCCGTCTTTTGGGTTGTACCATTACCATCTGAAAGGTTTCAAAAGAACACCGGCCGACTACTACACGTACCCACTACTGAAGTCCTTGGAGAAGTCTCCCTTGCGGTTTGTCACAGGTGGGTAGGGGATGGCGCGGATCTGAAAGAGAGATCATCGCACCGCCCTCGTCCATGGAATCGATACCGAGACCGAATGATTGAGGGAAGGTCCCGCGCTTGCGATGGGATGGACCGTGAGGACGAGGCTCTTCGAAAAAACGATACGGAGGGAGAGCGAGGCAATCTGACATCTCTCGTCGCTGTATTTCAGGAGGATTCGTACCCTGTCATGCGGGATCCACCACGACGGAAATGTATCTTGATTACATAAATCGCTTCGCCGTGATGTTGTCATCGCGCCAATCGAATTTTTTCGCCTACGTCTGGCTCTCAGATATCCCCCATGATAAGGTCAGTCATATGGCGCGACTGTATTAAATGAAAAAAAACGACTGATGCGAAAGCTCCCCCTCTCGTCCCAATCCCCACTCTGTCCCTAATGTCTTTTCTTTCGTTTTCAGATGAACGCCGTCGGGAATATGGACAGCATCCTCACCCGTCACATAAAGACCCTCGCTCGGGATGGGGTCCTCAACAACACCGCTCTAGTATTCCTGAGCGACCACGGAATCCGTTTCGACACGATTCGCACGACGACGATTGGTAATTTCGGGACCTCTTAGCTCTTTCACTTTTCGGTGCTCTAGCCGGCGAATCACAGTTTAATAATACGGTCACTCATACCGGGATATCGAATCCGATATTGCAGGAAAGTACGAGGATCGAATGCCATTCGCGTTCGTGGCCATGCCTCGCCGTTTCTGTGAATCTCATCCCAAGGAATGTGGGCGTCTAGAGAGCAACGCTCTCCGTCTGACCACTCACTATGATGTACACGCAGCTCTGAGAGACCTCATCCAGATAGAAGGTCCAGTGCCTGGACGCAGGGCGATCAAAACCAATCGGGGCGTGAGCCTCTTCTCGGAAATCCCCTTCAACAGAACTTGTTCAGACGCGTCCATAGACCCGATGTGGTGTACATGCGCGGTCGATACTGCAGCCGGGAGTAAAACCGGAGAGCTGCCGGCCGTCAGTGGCCTAGCGCATCGACTTGCGATCGCGCTCGAGAAGCGCTTGAACTCGATCGTCGACAAGCGCCTCTGTCACACACACGCTCTCTCGAAGGTCTTAGAAGTTCAACGCGTCCAAGGTCCGAACGAGCCCGCGGACCAGTATTTTTGGGTAACAGCATCTTTTTCGCCCGGTAATTCAATTTTCGAGGCAACGGTGGTCCTTTTCAAGAATGGATCCATCTCGGCTGGAAAAAGCATTTCGCGTTGCAACATGTACTGGGGCACCGCGTGGTGTGTGGCCGATCATTGGATGGAGAAATTCTGCCACTGCAAAAGTTGGTACACCTCGTTCTATTTCCTTCTGATGGGCGGGTGAAACCGATGCCAAACAGACGCGATCGACTCCCAGTGGCCGATTGCCGCACGTTCTCGGGAATTATTACCTTGTGATGGCCGACCCGAAGTCCAAGTGTGCCACAAATCTAATTGGGAGCCCGAGCTCCAGACCAGGGATCGACAGTCTCGGTGCGCCCTTTTTCTTGCCCGAGCCCGGCAGAGTTAGGGTGAGGGCTCCTAGAGAGGCGTATGTCGTCGTCCGTAATTACCCTATTTCCCCTTCGCTGAAGCGTCTTCAAGGCGGTCGAACCCCCAGATACTGAATAATTTTTGGTACTTATCCGTTTGGTCTTCTGGCATTGTCTTCCGTTCAAATGGAGTCATTTGGATTGAAGTGGTCTTCAGAATTGCAGCTGCCGCTGGCTCAGTAGGTTTAGTTTCCGGTGTGATATTGTCGTCCAGAAGACTTTTTGCCATGGTTTTGAGCGCTACGATTGACGACCGTGATTCATGTGCAGGATCTGTGAATCCAAGAAGATCTTCCTCTCTTCGAATATCTCGTACTGCTCTCTCCCCTCGAGGGCTATGGCCAGGCCGCTCGACGAGCGATTCTATTGCGTTGCCAAACTGTAGGAAGTTCCCTGACCTTTGAGTCCCCTCTCGAGAATGCGAAGTCGAACAATCAGAGTTCTTTCCTAGCTCGTAGGACTCTAGTCCTTTCGAGAGGTTCTTGTCTTATGAATCTTGTTCCTCGACAAGCCTTGTAAATATATCCGCCATGAAAGTGTTGGCTCACTGTTATGTTTCGCGCACAGCTGGAAAAGTGATAGATGTTTACGACGTTTCGGAATCCATCCCGTTGATGGATTGTCTGAAGTTTGAGATTCCCCGACCATGCCGGTGTTGGTCGCATGAAGCTCGCTCCGACCCTCCCAAACGATAGCGGTTGGTCGATACTTACCCATATTAGACTTAATGTTGTATTTCAATGGACCTCTGCGAACGATAGGATGATGCCATGACCACGCAGAGCCGATTCATATGATCGGAATAAAGCGAAATGCCCCCTCCTCAGCTGAACCGATGTTTTATCGCTTCGTATGACAGATCCCCCCCATAACGCACAGATCCTACGCGATCCGCTTCTACAATATTTGCCTTCTGGTCGGTAAGGGGTTCTTTCCGGATCTGACTTTCGATTGGATGTTGAGGGAAAGTACTATCTGCTGTACTTCTGCGGTTCCTGTTCAATAGAGCGCGGCCTTGATAAGAGCACGAGTCCAACTTGAGCGTGGGAGCGATATTGAGCGCGCCGTCGACTTGAGCGTCAGGACGACTGTGAGCTGTGACCGTGTGCTGCGAGCACGACTATGTACACGTGATGGCGTTCGACCGGCGGACACTTATTTGCAAGTCTAGCAGATGTGTTCGTTTCCCTCATTTCTTTACAAATATCGCGAGCCTTTTCTCCGGAATTCGACATTCTCCCGCAAGAGGGCCTCCAGTGTTCCAGTCACCGCTAGATGTAGTCCATGACCGAAGCACAGTTGATGATAAAAGGATTCCGGCGTGGCGCCCTGATCGCCTCGATTCGACGTCCGAGGAGTTTTATTTATAAGGTCCCTGAAGAGGTCGGTAAGGATCCGAAATCATTGGCCTGCCTGAAGAAGCTGAGATCCTCTATCATATCACGAACCAACGATATCAAATGAATATAGCGAATGACCGAAATGGATTTATGATGCTCCTGGGCAGAGCTGTGCGCCGCGACCCGAGATCGCCGGCGATCGCCGCCGCCGAGCTCTGGACTCCGCCGCCGCCGCCGAGCTCTGAGCACGGCGTCCTGCGGCGGAACGGCGCGCCGTCATGATCCCCATGGTAAATCGTCAAGAGCCCTTTTGAAAGATTTCGGAAGACTTTCGGAGTGAATCGAGGGAATACAGAAGCAAGTGTTCATCAAAGTCAAAGAAAGAGAAACTGGGCCAAGCTCGATGCGCTCGCTCGATGATAATAGAATCGAATCGTAGACGACACCTTATATCATCCGAGAATCGAGACGATTCATAAGTTTTTCTGTCGACTCCTCGCCGCACATCAAGAGACGAAATAGGAATGACCAGCCTGCCGTCTTGTCTTTTCATACACGATAATCGAGAGTTCTTGCAAAATAAGTGACTTAAGAACGAATGAACCTAACTTGAGCTCGCACTTCGATTCCTACTTTCGCCATCCCGAAGCTTACTCCCTCTTTGGTGCCCTAGCTCACTCCTTGGGACCTAATTTCCCCATGGAGCTCGCTTCGGGTGAGAGAGAACCGCGGCGCGCCGTGAGTATCAACTCCGCTGAAAAGCCGCGGCGCCCGCCGCCGCCGCCTCTTTTTCGCCTGTCGCCGCCGCCGCGAAAAATCAGATGGCGCACGGTACTGCTCCTGGGTGACCAACCCTCACTCGTCATCACTGTGAGGGTCATGACATCATGCGGATCGATGCCGAAGGCGTTCAAAGATAGGAAAGCGCGTGCATGATGTCGGCTGTTGTGCTTGACTCTGAAGGAGCCACGATTCCGAAGGAATGAGTTTTTATGTTGGAATCGAACTCGAGAAGTGGATCGCAACTCGTGACCCCAAGTTCAGGAGGAACTCCCGTCAGGAGTAAGGGCGGAGATCGCTCCGGTCGTTTCCAGAACTATGATCTCCCCTCTGACTGAGCGGGCTCTCGACTTTCGAGCCGCGTTCCCTCACGCCTCATACATCGAGATGCCGCACGGCCGTTCGTGACTGCTTAACCTGGCTAGAGGAGCATTCCCGCCACTATGAAATCCGGGAATACGAAGGTGTGCGGCTCCCCACTCCCCAGACGCGATCACGCACGCAATCGTTGCGCCTTGCACCGCAGCGATCATCTCGCCGATCCCAGGATCCGACCCGCCCCCGAGCAGATGATGGCGGCGCCGCATTTCGAGTTCATTTTCCGATTGGTTGAAGCTCAGATGAATTTCGCAGCACTAATCCTCTTGTTGACAGATGTTGTTTTTCCAGGTGTTTCATGCAGTTGACATGATTTTCACACTTCGAAAGCTATGAGTCGGCAGAAGGGGCCTCCTGTGATGTTCAAGATATGCATTTCGCCTGAGTTCTCGCGAGCTCCAGATGACGGGGCCTCCTGAGACGTAAAATACAATTCTAAATTTCGATCTTGGCTCGTACGCGGGAATCTTGGAGTTATTGATCCATCTCCTGAACATATACGGCTCTGCGAGGGAGTTTTCTGCACACATTATCTCAGCTAGAAACTGAGTCGAAGGCATGAGCGTGAGGTAGATCGGGACGAAAGCTACCGCACTCGTCGGCATGGTCAAGTTACGCGTCGGCATTACTTCGTCTCCTATGCCATGCTCGGACAACCGATCTAGGAGGCAATTTTCCGATGGATGGTTATTCGGTATTTTCGAGCGATCGAATTCAGTGAGACTGCGCGGAGAGGCCAGCAGCGCGCCCAAGTTAGGCAAGAATTCATTCGGGGAGATGCGATTCGGGGAGACGCGATTCGGGGGAGTGCGATTCTGGGGGATGCGATTCGGGGACTCGGGAGTGTACCCGGAGAAGGTTCAGCGAAGACGTTAGTTCGTCAGCTAACACGAAAACTTCGTCGAATATTGGGACAAGATGAAGCTCGGAAGTTCACCGGCACCACACTTGACCGCCTCCGTCAATTAAGTCATCGCCTCTCCATGGAGAATCTCATATCATATATCGGGTGACCCTCCAGGGGGGCAACGAGCTGGAGCGATATATCTCAGCAAAGCTAAAGATCTCCCGGCGCTAATGACGTGTCGGTTTCTCACACCGGACCGGAGCAGATCATCACCATCATCGGTGTCTGTTTACATGTCTGCGACGGTGGGCTCTCCAACAACCTACTACTACTGTTACTACACTTCAAGACATCTCACGGCTGAGCGAACCTATCCTCCTCATACCCTTGCGTACCTTCGCGTCCCTCGGTATGCATGCTCCGAGTATAGCGTGCCCGCTCACCACAGGTACGCCGTACCCTCCCTCTTGCGGGTACGCGCATATTGATGTCTAGTCTCCGTCGTTACGGGATGCGTTTTCGTCCTCCGAACGCCAGCGCAAGCTTGACCGACGGACGGCGTTCCACAACAGCTGTAGTCTCCGTGGTGGCTGCTGCTGCTGCTGGTGAGGAAGTGCTGTCGCCGCTACGGCCGACGACGAAGAGGAATCGAAAAGAGAAGGAGCTCGATGATGTTTGAGAACAGAGGAAGGAGACGTTCGAGCAGATGTTGCTTCGAGAGTCGATGTAGCTGGTGAGATGGGAAATTGTGTTTCACCGGAGACGGATGAGTCGTCCTTCGCGGTGTGGAACGTCGATGATGGTGGAAACCGGGTGCAGCCGGGGAGGATATCACTCACGGAAACACATCTCGTGTTCGTTCAGAAGGGCGGTGAGCCGATTCGGTGGCCGCTCAGTGGACTCCGACGGTACGGTTTCGATGCAGAACTCTTCTCGTTCGAGTCGGGTCGCCGCTGTCCGACCGGGAGCGGTGTCTACGCTTTCAAGTGTCCACGGGCTGAGCGTCTCTTTAATCTGCTCCAAGAACGGATACAGGCACAAGCCCCGATCCGGCCCAACTCATTGATCGATTCGCCGCCCACTCCCCAGGAAATGAGGACCACAGCTGACTACCTCGAACCCATTTCCTTGGGAGCCCAAGTGGTGTCCACAGTAAATTTTGTCAACAATGTTTCGCCTGCCGGTGCCCTCGCTTCTGGGCCACTTTATCAAAACGTTCCCGTACAGAATCCACAACAACAACAACAACAGCAACAACATCAACAGGTGCAACAGCAACAACAGCTCCAGCCGCCCCTACAACAACAGTGTCAGCAAACCCAGCAACAGCAGCCGCAAATACAGCCGGCGTCGATAGCCAATGCGGTGACGACAATGTCCAATAGCACCAAACGCATCGTCGCCTCGTTGGACTCTTTGAATGCGCCCGGCGTCAATTACGTCGTACTCGATCTCGACCAGCCCAGTGAGCCGCCCACGCCAACGTCTCCGACCTCTCCGACTCCGACGGCTGTGAGCGTCCCTCTACAGTCCCCTTCTCCTCCTGCCCAACTAGGTTATGCTCAAATCGACTTCGACAAGACCATGGCCTTACAGCAGATAGCGAGCCGATCGAGAACATCGGACTCGTGATCCCCACCAATGGGAGCCGGAGCTTGTGCAGTGACTAAACTTGTCGATCGACTCCGAGGAGTACGCAGTCGTCTTCCCGCCGTGCCCGTAGGGCCTCAGTCATGAACCGAAAGGACGACCATAATATCTCCAACAGTGATGATGAGCTGATAAGATACGAGCACTGCGCACGGAATATGGTGACAGACGACCGCAGCGATGACTAGTGCTGCGTATCGTACCGCTTTGATAGCCGCCTCGATGTAGCGACTGACGCCGCGACGCTGCTCCCCGGGACCCCACTTCTTAGCGTCTGACCCAAATTGTTTAGGAACGCTCACGTGCCTCTCGGCCGGCCCGCTTGCCAGTATGTGTGCCTGTAGAATCGCCTGCATGATCGTACGTGCTGAGTGCGGGAGCTCTCAAGGGAGCGTGGGAATGTCTGTTTATTTTTGCTACGTCTTTAAAAAAATTACCAGCGCAACAACCGGAAGACTGATAAGAGCTGTGGGAGATCATTGACGGGTGCTGTACACGTCAGCAATTATACGAGCTCTGCCGAGTCGAGCTCGAATAGAACGCTGTTGCGCCTGAGAAGCGTTGATCAGCTTTTGAAAAGTTCTCCGTGGGGGAAGATCTAGTCGACGCCAGAGCTTCCCTGAGATGATCGCGGCTCTGTCGCTTAACTTGTTACTACCAGTGTTCCTCATCGGTGAGCGGAGATCCTTTCGGCTTGCCGAGAAAGATTGAACTACTCATTTACGTCGGTTTGTCGAGGGCCGACAAGGAAGAGATGCGATTTTTGTTATCCTCCCCGACTCGTTCGAAACGAAATCAGGTGATGATCGCCGTCGTTTCCGAAAGTCACCGATCGATCGAGCATTATCGATTGCGGACCCCGGGTCTGCAGAAACAGTCCATACTAGGTAAACTGGGATTTGTTGCCACTTTGTGGGTGAACCGCTGTTATTCCTGAGTCGAGAGGCTTTAAATTGATATTGTGTCTTGCATTAGAAATACAGCCCTCGTCATTGAGGTCGTGAATGAAGCCTTGCGAGAGAGCTACGTGGGTCAACGCCGCGAGCCCCCTCCCTCGCTCACAGCCTCAGTTCGCGCGGAAGAGATGAGATTCATATATTCTGAAATTTTAGAGTCGTCGTATCTCGGGCCTGGTCCCTTGTATGCCTCCTAAGCTTGCCATTCAGGTCAATCAATCTCTGTCAGCCAGCCATACATGGGATGCGCGCTGGTCTGTACTGTGATGCGTATTGGGGGGAAAATGAAGAATATTTCTCCTAGAATGCGTGACCTCCGGTGAAAAACCGGGGCAATGCTAGAAGGTAGATGAACAGCTTCACGAATCAAAAACGGCCAAAGATTTTCATATGCCAAGTGCCTCTCAAACGTGTCGGAATGTCTGAATATCGCTGGACGGATGTTGCAATGAGACAACACAAGGAGAAAGGACGTCGGAGCAGTTTATATATACATATATACATAAATAAAACAAACTGATATATATATATATATATATATGAATATACAGAAACCTACGAATCTGTGAATTCTATCGAGTTTAGATCGACCGTCAGAAAGCTTAATCGGCATTCTCAGACGTGACTTTTCCGGGCAATCAAGTCTGGGAAAACTTCGGTGGGAAACGGGGGAGGAGGGAGGGGACTCCTCCAAGGAAAAAGTGAATCAGGAGATTGATGCCCGAGAGTGTTCGCGTCGCAAAGAGTCTCGCCATCATCGAGTCCCGTATGACATAACTCCTTTCCGGCCCTGTTAATCCACTCTCTCACAGGCCCTGGACTGACGGAAAGTCTCCAACCGAATATCCTAGGAGCCGATGAACCTGCGGGAGTAGGTCATGCGTCGTGCCTCCGAGTTTCTAGCCCTTAAATCCGAGAGAAATTCTCCATATAGGGAAATGGTTCAGAATCATCGAGGAACCAAGTTTTCACAAGAGAATCGCAGTTCGCGGTATGATCATTCTTTTGCCCTCCTCCCTGGATTCCGACCTGAGATGGAGGTCACCACTCTGAAGAGAATTCTCTAGAGATCGTACATCTCCGCATCAACACTATCCCCGACCTCGGGATTCTCCAAAGGTTTCGCACTGACAAAAGCGTCGAATCCGGGGGAGATCGGCTCGCAGCTCCAGATTAATCTCTTCATCCCGGGTCCTCCGCCTCAAGGAGAAGCGAGAATTGACCACGACTCGAGCCGAGACTCCGTGTTCTCGGCGGTGCGATGGCCAGGTCGACCCGAGAATTCATGGGCAACGTAACTTTCAAATCTCCCGCCACGGTAAAACTCAGCGTGACCGATGTTCCGCGAGCATTTCGGTTTCGTTTCTCGCGATGGAGAGAATGTGTTGTTGTTATATGTCGGCAGCCGTCGTCGCGTCGTCCGCCGTCGCTCCATGAGAGCAACTGGACAACACGACTTACATCACTGCTCTCCGAAATGGTGTAGCTGGTGCGCACAATACCGGAAGCTTTGCTCTCCAATTCGACGTGCACTTCTTTCGAACCGATCTCAGCTCAATACACAACGATTCTGGATAGAGGTCGCCAGTTGCCAGTCGCCAGAAGATTCTCCCCATTTAACTTGTCGGGGGCGAACTTGCGTCCGAGAAGGGGAAGGATCTCTTTTCAGTATTCGGACGCGGGATCATTCTGTCGGCTCAAGGCCTGACGTCCATATGAAGCGAGCTTAGTTCTCGACTGCCGTTGAGAAATGTTCAAGACAGCTACCCTCCGTCTCAAAAGAGACTACCTCCGACTTCTACAGGATCCTATTCCGTATGTGATAACGCACCCCCTCAATGAAAATATCCTTGAATGGTGAGTTCAGTTGTCTACATGATCCCGCGTTCCCCGCGCGATGGAGTTCGGTTCGGAGCTCCGCAATGGACTCTAAAGCACCGGAATCAGAATTCCCATAAGCTCCTGCTGATGGCAAAAAAGTATTTGAATAGCCTTCGCCCCGATCAGCGGAGCTGATGAGCAACAATAATCATCAACCTGCTTAACTAGGCTCTGGGACGTTTCTTCATGGAGATGTCCGAACGATGCCATATTCTCACACACTTCCGTTCGTGTTTTTGCGTCCCTTTTCTCGGATATATTAACGGTTTCTCGAACCTGCTGGGAGCACTTGTGTTTTCCGAGGTCATTCGGATGCAGATCAGATGCTTGCCCATGTCAAGAGCTGCCCATCCTTCCAGCGGAGCTAGCGATCAGCAACTTGACGATTATAGCCCTTGAGTTTCCGTGTAATGTTTTTTGACATTGTTGCTTTCTACCCCCCAGGCATTACGTGGTATTCGGCGCGCCAGACACCCCATATGAAGGTTTGTTCCACGATCACGATAGCCCTTCCATAAATCTGCCCTAGACGTCAGGAAGAACTGTGAGCCGTCGGGGCCCAGCAGAAAGAGCAAAGGCTCCCGTTGAACCCAAGGCTTCGTTGACTGACGGTGGTCTCTTATTCCAGACGGCTTCTATCACGGGAAGCTCATATTCCCTCAAGAGTTCCCCTTTAAACCACCCTCCATTTTCATGCTGACGCCGAACGGCAGGTAAGCAGGGGGATACGTCATAGCGGTCCGATTTCTGGTTCACAAAGTGTCTTGAAGAGACTGTGATCTCATCCCATCTA